CTGAGTCTCCTTTGGAAACAGAAGCAGATGAAGCAGCTCCTGAGTCTCCTGTGGATGCAGAAGTACCCTCTGATCTAACAGATAAGGAAACAGAAATAGATGAAGCAGCTCCTCAGGCACAATCTGAAGATATAGAGGAGGAAGAAGCTCTTGTGGAAACAGAAGCAGAGGAAACAGTTTCTGAGACTTTTGCGGATAATGAAGTACAATCTGATGATGCAGAGGAGGAAGAAGCTCTTATGGAAACTGAAGCAAGTAAAGCAGCTCCTGAGATTTCTGTAGATAATGAAGCACAATCTGAAGAAGCAGACGAGGAAGAAGGTTTTGTAGAAACTGAAGCGGAGGAAGCGGCATCCGAGGCTCTTGTGAATAATGATACAACATCTGAAGATCTAGACGAGGAAGAAGCTCGTGTAGAAACTGAAGCAGTGGAAGCGGCATCCGAGGTTCTTGTGAATAATGAAACAACATCTGAAGATCTAGACAAAGAAGAAGCTCTTGTAGAAACTGAAGCCGAGGAAGCGGTATCCGAGGTTCCTGTGAGTCCTGAACTTCCAGTCGAGGATGCAGCTCCATTGTTGCTTGTGGGTGATGAAGCACCATCAGAAGAAGCGGAGGAGGATGCAGCTGGTGAGCCTCCTGTGGATATCGAAGCAGAGGAATCAGCTTCTGAGGCTCCAGTGCACACTGAACCTCCAGCCGAGGAAGTAGCTCCAGAGTGGCCTCTGAATGCAGAAGCATTAAGTGAAATGCCAGCTGAGGAAGCATCTCTTGTGTTGCCTGCGGATATGGAAGCACCAGCTCCGGAGTTAGATGACAAAACAGGTTGTGATGCTCGTCTGGAAACCGAAGCGCTGGCTGAAGAGGCGAAAGATAAAGCAGGTTCTGAGGCTTCTTTGGATAATGAAGTAGAGGAATTAAGTCGCGAAGATATTGATGTCATTCAAGTCGCTAATGAAGCTGTTGTGGATTCTAAGGCACTATGTGAAGAGGTAGAAGTAGAAGTTGGCTCGGAGGTTCTTGTGGACACTGAAACAGAAGAAGCTGCCCATGAAGCTCGTTTGGATACTGAAGTACAATCAGAAGAGGCAGAAGAGGCAGAAGAGGAAGCAGATCCTGACGCTCCTGATGAAGAGGAAGCTGTATCCAAAGAGGCAAAGGAGGAAGTCACCAAAGCTACCAAAGAAGTGAGAGAAGTTGAAGAAACGGAAAGCATTGTTGGAGGGCCTCATGGAGAAACTTGCGGTCTGGTTCAAGAGGAAGAACCGCGAGAAGAAGACACTTCTGTATCTATTGAAGGAGGCGTTGAAGGAGAGAGAAAGGAAAATGAGGCCTCTGCTGAGATTGATATAGCAGATGAAGTGACGGCAAAATTAGAGGACGAGCTGTCACTGAAGACTCCGAACGATGAAAAGCCAACCAATGAAGCGAAGGAGGATAAATCCGTTGAGGCTGAAACTGAAGAATGCACATTAGGTGAAGAGGAGAAACACCTAGGGGAAACTGTAGAGGCTCCTGTTGTCGCGGAAGCATCAGTTGAAGATGAAGAATTTGCAAATGCAAGTACTCCTGCATTCGTCGAAGCAGGAGCCGAAGAGGAAAAACATACAGAGAAAAATCGTCTTGTTGAGCAAGAAGCACCAGATGAAGACTCTTCTGCACTTGTTGGAGCAGGAGCTGAAGAGGAAGAACATATGGAGGCAGAGAGAGTTGGTGAAGGTCCTGTGGAGGTAGACACAACAAACGAAACGGAGGAAAAAGTAGAGAAACGCATAGCAGTTGAAACCAGTGCGGAAGCCGAAGTAGAAACAACTACTGCGAATGATGCAGCTTCGGAAACTCATGAAGAGCTCGAAGCAAGGCCTGGGGATGAGGGAGGAAATGAAAAAGCTGAGGAAGACGTTCCTATGGATCCTCCTCCCAACGCTTCTCGTGTAGATTCTGTAGTAGAAGCTTGTATCGTTGCAGCTGGGGAAGAAAACATTTCAACGGAAGAGACATCAGAAAATTCCGAAACCGCGGAGGAGGCCAAGAAAACTACACCGAAAGAATCAACTCTAGAACCTGATGTTGAACTAGCACCTGATGGAGAGGAAACGAGAGTAATACCCGAAGGTGAACAGAAATCCGAGGATGAGGCAGCTACTGAGGCTTGTGTAGACGCTGGAGAATCAGCAGTCGATGCTATAAATACAGAGGAAAAGTCACATGTAGACACTGACAAAGAAAATGTTGCTGTTGCAGATGTTGTTGAAGCTATACATGAGTCAAAGGAAGAGGCAGTTTTAGATTCTGGAGCATATGACACAGAGGAAATTGTTGAGAACAAGGTAGTTGTTGAGGAGGTCAAAAATGAAATGACGGCGTTGGCTGAGGCACCCGGTCATGCCGAGAAATACGGAGAACACTCAGATGCCCCACAAAATGTAGAAGACGAATAAGTTAGAGCAGAAGAGGGTTTCGTCGCCAACGAAAACCCACGAACTATATATTCAGACCTAACGTAATGATGGTGAACAGCGTGCAACCGACAATCAATAAAGAAGCAATGGTACAACATAATGAAGGAAGCCATTGTTTAGTTCTCTTCGGTTCTTGCCATGAAAACAATCTCGGAACGAAAAGTATGATAGGATTTGAAATCCGTCATTTTCTTTTTTCAAACCACACCCAATGTCGACTGCTTTGGAAGCTGTCGACGTTGTAAATGTCATTAATGCGATGGAATGCAGCAATTTTTACAAATGATATTACAGTAGTTTGTAGTATAAAAAATCGCACTGTGTTTAGTAGATAACTCCCAAAAAACGAGAGCGTGTCACAAATATTTTTTTACTATTGGTTACACCCTCGGTCGTACTAGGTGAAGTTCAAGCACGTTTCCAATCATTTTTTCGGGTGCGTCATCGCTTCCCCTCCACGCAATATCCTTCTGCTTTGTAACGTCCGAGTAGAAGACAATAAGGCGATCGTTTTTGGCATAAAACTTCTCCCCTGATTCAAACTCGAGACCACCTCCGCACGCTTTGTCCCAGTTGTCTGGAACGATATAATAATACAGGGATAATTTTCGTTGGTCGTCTACTTGATCTGCGACAATAGAAAAGGGAATGACTTTGTCAAGCACATCGTCAACGTTTTCGCTGCCCGTCAGGAGCGCCGTGGAAGCTTTCAGAGCCTTTCGGTCAAAAGTTCTCAGTGTTGCCATGCAAGCGGAAGCATCAAGTTTGAGCGGTTTTGCTGCTTCGTTGCTCTCATCTCCAAACACTTCGGGAACGTGTTTTGTAGTACTGACCACAATTTCTACCATACGGGGGCAGGTTGTATATTGCTCTTCTCCGCCAGCAACGGGCGCGATGTATAAACCCTTTCCTAAGTTGGCCATATCGACCTCCATACCTCCTTTTTCTAGCATTTGTGATCCCTCCTCTTGGAGCTGGGAAAGAATCGACGCAGGTGATGCTGTCTTATCGTCATTATTATCGCTGCCGCTACCGAGAAAGTCTTCGACGACCGCAAATCCATTTTCCTGCAGGGTAGCCTGGAATTCCGACTGGGACAACCGATCCATGATGCACTCCTTGACCATAGTCAGCATGTTCACACTATCTCTCTGTGCCTTGAGTAATTCCTTTGCTTTTTCCGCCGCAGCTTCGGGATTGGCAACCTTGATCGGTTCTTCCTTCTCGTCTTCCTTATTGAACTTCTCGAACTTCGGGGATTCCATATCGGCGTAAGGATTCGGTCCGCCCTTCGCCTTTTCGCGCCTTCGTTGAAGTTTCTCCTTCATCGACGGCTTTTTCTTTTTTCGTTTTGTAGCCATGCCCAGGCTCACGCTTTCACCATTGTTGCATGTCGTCGTCGTTGTCGTCGATCGTGTTTGTAGAATGAGGGGAGGGCCGATCTGGAAAAAGGCAGCCACGCTCGTAAGCGACGAAAGTAGACAGAACGGCAGCAGAAGTTTTCGCTGTATCATATCTTCCGTTTTCCGGTATGAATCTATAGAGAGAGACAGGGGCGAAAGAACAAATCTGAATCTTCTTTTGGAGAAGGCAATGGAATAGGTTGCTATTGAGTGTAAGTGGTTTCACCTTTTCGTAACGATTTGCTTGTATTTTGAGAGCTTGATTGTTGTTGTCGACAGTTTTTTAAACGTACGAGTTCGACTTCGTACAAGTTTATTGTTTTACGTACGTACTCGTACGCATCTCTACTGAAAAATGAGATTTGATGTCGACTTATCTGTTGTATAACTTCCACGTGGAATTTATTCCGTTCACCATACTGTTACGAGATATGGTTCGTACTTACTAATATGTGGTCATGAGCCTCGAGTCTTAGTGTACCGATAGTATTTTTTCTAGATCTTAGATGCCTTTTTGGTCTTCGTTCCCATGACTCATGACCGTTGAAAAGAGAACATTCTCTTTTAACTCGTACCCAAGTACTTGGATGCTGAACTAACCTGTGAGTGTTTTGGATACGAGTACGAGTACTAGGGCCGGTGCGGTGCGGTACTGTACCCTACGGTACGGTACGAACTCATAGCACAGTCGCTGATAACATTACGACGTGTTCCATTTTACTGTACCGTTCACTCACTCAGCGCAAGAAAAAAAGATACTGTACGAACCTTTCCATCATTGATTGTACTCGAATCATCGTCATCGTTGTCGCCGAATGCGTGGATCAGGGAGAGCGATTGATTGAACAGGCGCAAAGAAAATAGGAGAACACGCCATGAGCCAGATATCAACCAACTCGACGAAGAAAGCGATCAAGGTATCTTTGAAAGCCCTTCTCCTGATACCAGCAATTCTGTCACTCTTCGTTGTATTTCTATCCTCCAAACAATTCGCCAAAACATCACCGTTTGTCGGTATTGATTCGGCGTCATGGGAACGGTTTTCCACAGTATTTTCGAAAAGTAGTATTCCGGCCTGCGATAACTATCCGTGGAAGGAATCGGAAAATCTGGTGGGGGACTGCGCCGGATCGCTCACGGTCTTCAAGGGAGACCCTGCTACCGTATCGTCTGTAGAAACCTGCGCCACTGCTTGCTGCGAGTCTGATGACTGCGTTACGTGGCAGTTCCGCAAGGACGTCGGCTGCCTCCACGGTGGGGACGTACGCATCGGAATGGAGAAAGACGGGCCGGCCTCGTGGTGCAGCGACCATGCTCCCCGCAAGTGGGAGGGTCAGTACGTAATGCAGCGAGCACATGGTCAGATTGTAAAGAACAAGGAAGAGACCGGTGCCTGCTCGCTCGATACGTGGAATCCAAACGAGCAGCCTGGGCAGTGCTTTGGTCTAGGGGACGTGAAGAAAACGAGGAAGGACGACAAGTCGGTCCTCCTCAACAGCGCCAGGGCCTGCATGGAGGCCTGCTGCGCCGAGGAAGATTGCGGTGCCTGGCAGTTTCAGAGCGGCCTGGGTTGCTTTTACCACGCAAGAATGCACGGATGCATTGATACATCTGATCCCACAGTCTTTGAGCCCTTTGTGGGACGGAGAAAATTCAGGTCGTCCCGAGAATACGTCGACATGAAGGGGAAGCCGTGGAGCCAGAAGCTAGAATGAAGTGAATTATTGTCTCGATGTACACTCTATTATCGGATTTGTGTCCGTCAAAACTGGATATCTGTCTACTGATACCTGCTACGAACTGTTTATCTCATAATGATAATGTTGCGTGTTGTTTTGCCTTGACGGCTTTTCCCAACGACAGTGAAAAGAGGTTTTTGTATTGCTGTTCTATAATACAATTATTTGCGTGAACCAGCCGTTTGTTTCCTCGTTCAGAGCACTTGCTCCCTACGGTCAGTGCCGCGCAACGAAAGGTATGATTGCCACTGGAGGAGATCATTGGAATCCTTGAAGTGCCGATCGATTGTCCATGACATCCTCCTGGATATCGTCTCCGGCAGCTCACTATCGTGGACACGATCCGATGCACTTTTACTTTGTGACCGTGGCGCGTCATTCTACGTCACTATCATTTTGATTTCTATTTTCTCCCTCTCCTTCTTTAGTTGCTAGAATACGATGCCTACTGTCGGCATGCTATTCGCAAACGTGCGGCCTAGGCTTGGGAAAAATCATTCACAAACGAATAGCTCCGTCGAAGCAACGGTGATCTCGCAGATGATTGTCAGCCTTATCACTAGTATCACTGGTGCCGAGCGACATATTTGGAATGTTTCATCCGTCTCTCCGCCCGGTGGACCCTCTTCCGTTTCATCACCGCACACCACCCTCGTTCCCCAGGATTCCGATCGATCCGATACGTTTCCGGGAGATCCACAGCAGGAGCATACCGGCCAGCGCGTATCCGAACAAGAGCTGCATGGGAATGTCGTAGTTCCCAGAGGTGTCCCGCAGCCACCCGAAGACAATATCGGTCATGTTGAGCGTCGATCCCAAGACCTCAAAGACGGCAAAGGCCATCCCGAGCTGCGTTGCGGGCACCGTGTGGGGAATCATCGCGATCGAGATCGGGATTATGATTCCGTGAGCGATCGAGATCCCCACCAGCGGGGTCAGCGGGCCGCCCGGCAGGTGGTTCGTGACCACGGACGCGGGGACAAATGCCAGGGATCCGATGCTGGCCGTTCCGAGCACCGCACCGAGCAGTGCAAAGCCCACAATCCCACCGGGCGACCGGTAGGCGAGAAATCCTACCAGTGGCGAGAAGAGCGCAAACAATTCGTTCACGCTCGATATTCTTCCGGCCTTGACCGCGTTCACGTCGAATTCCTCCTGTACACCCCCATTTCATGCGCAGCAGTGTTGGATTTGTGAGAAACGCACAAAGGAACTAAAGAACCAACGAACGACCACCAGGATTCAAAACGCTGCAAACCACCTGTACAAGGACAACTCAACCACTGAGAAAGGACACAACGCCGCCACACTTACAATCAAAAAGGAGTTCGAGTACCGGCTGAAGACCTTGAACGTGACAAGGAATATAGCGCGTCCGATCGCCACGATCCAGAAGGTCAGGGGGAGGTTGACCAGGGCCGCCATGCTAGAAAAACTCGAGCGCTCGCAGCGGGATGGAGCCTTGTTCGCGTGCAGGGTCTGCCGCCCCGACGCCAGGGCGTTTTTGCGGAAGTAGTGGCCCCCGCACTCGTCGTCGTCGGTCTCTCCTCCCTCGGGCAGTGGTCGCTCCCATCTTCCCGGGTGGTGCCGGTGGTGTCCGTGTGCCCGCTCTCGGCGGGGTTTGGCGCAGAACCCACCGTTCCGCTGCGCGTACAGGCAGCCGGCACCGAGTGCGACCAACTGCACGACGCAGCAAGCCAGGATTCCGACGCGGATGCTGCTGTGGTCCGCATCGGCGTTGTCTTCCCCGGCAAGGATAGACTCTTGGCGCCGCGTCTCGATCAGCCACGGCACAATGTTTTTGCTGGCCATCATGGCAAGGTTGTTCATGGCTATGAGCACGCCCTGGGCAAAGGCGCCGTCCCCGCCCCAGAATTCGTGGCCGACAAAGGCACGGGCGGCTACCATCACGCAGCCCTCCCCGACGCCAAAGACAAAGGCCCCGAGCAGTCCGATTGGGATGCTGTGCATTTTTTCCAGGCCAAAGCCGTAAACGACGATCCCCGCGAGGGTCAGGCCCAGAAACCCGCAGTAGGCGTTGGACTGCGATGCCTTCTGGTCCGTATCAAGCGCGGTTCCGGACGGTGCGGTGGTGATCGTTCGTAGGCTGCTGACAATGTCGTGCTGGCTCTCGTCGTCGCTATCGTCGCTGCCATCTTCGACGAGGCTTCCATTTCGGTGGTTCGTGCCCGAAGCGTGGGGATGGTGCCGGTGGTGGTGCCCGTCGCCCCCCCTCTTGTAATCGAGCAGAGCCCCGCCCAGCAGCGGAACAATCGGCATGGAAATGAGCGTGAGCAGGACTCCGTACGTCGTTGCGGACATCTGGAGCTCCCTGTCGGTCATCAGGTATTCCTGAAAGGAGGACTGTGCCGACTTGAAGAACTTGACGCCCGGGGTAGTGAGGGCGATCAGGGCCAGGTTCTTGTATCGATTGCTTCGATCTTCGTTCTCTTCTGCGTCCTCGTGCTGCTGTTTGTCGCCTAGGTTGTAGTAATTGTCGACTCCTTCGTACGATCTGAAACCGACGTTGCTCTCCTCCCCATCCCTTCGCACAAGCCTCGTGGTTTCGTCGTGCATTTTTACCCTCATGGTCGTGTTTCTTCCGTGTTGTGTGCCGTCGTCGAAACGGAAACAACCGGGAATGGTTTTTTGCCTTTCGAATCTTCGTTGGTTTTGGGGTTGCTTTTGCTCCAGCTGCTACTGACTGGCTGATTTATTATTGCTAGTGCTGATGTTGTTATCATCGAAGAAACCAATACCAAGAACGACGACAAGGATGTCGTAGTTGTACCTATGGAAGATTCCACACTCTTGCGAACATCGAAGTTACACGTTCAACGTGCGTTTCGAGTTTCGACGGATGATGGGGATGCGGATCGAAAATTCCCGCAGTCGCCACTGAAATGCCTCTTTGCCAATCGGAAACAATCAGCGGGTCTGCGGGAGTTTTGATTCGTGAATGAAAGTACAGAAGCCAGCTGCTCGTTGCTCGTTCAATATCTACCGCGGTACGATTACGTATTTTACGTTAATCCGTACATCGTACGATACATACGTATTCGAACGAATGAATCTTTCCGAATCTATAGTATGATAATACCCTATATACGGTATGATAATACACACCAAAAACAATTTTTGGACAGCGTACGAGTTACCGTAGCCGCTCCCCGCATATCTCCGTTTGACGCTAGGTACTCATACTCGTACTCGTACGTGTAGTCGTATCGGTGCGGTGGGAGTACGAACAACAAAGAGGAAGTACCGAAGTCTTTTGTTTTTTAAAATGACTGTACTGTGCCTACACAATCATCCACAGCAACGCTGGTGGTTCCAACATCAAGGAAAGGAACGTCCAAGAACACATTCTAGGCCCTTACTATAGCTGTACCTACTCGTACTGTGCACGACTCATGCTATTATGCATACGATAGGGCACTATTCAAAAATTTGATCCATCGCACGGAACAACAATAGACCTGACAATTCGCACGTGCACTTCAACCAGGTCCGATTTATTAGAAGTACTCGCGAACTCATTTTTTATATAATATGTGGTTGCTTCAGTGCTTTAATTAGGTAACAAACGAGATCCCGGATGCTCAACTGCGCTTTTGTATTTATAACTCCGCATTCCAATGCATTTTGCATCCATGCAGTGACGTAACTGAATTCGTCACCTTTCCTTAAATATCATGCTTGTTCACGCTTGAATAGGAGCTTGAATCCAGGCAATCTTCGAAACCCGTCAATCCGATAGTTTTCTTTAGAGGCGATGAAGGTAACTCTCCAGCAGAGGTTTAGTTCAGCCTCGTAACGGTCCGATGCAATGTGGCAATTGCACTCTCCGAAATGCCGTACCAGAATAAATTCTGTCTTATGATCCCAATGGTGTTTCCGTCGTTCTTAGAGTTTCAACGGACTCCTTTCGTCTTCCAAATAATAAATCCTAAGCAGAAAAGAAGAATAAAGGAACCATCCATGGAGCGAAACCTTCCGAAACAAAAAACCTTGATAACAGACTCGCATCGGCATCGAATTCAAAAGTCAGCTCAGATCTTTCCATTTTGACTGGGACACCAAGCCTTACGTCACAACCCGGAAACCTCGCTTGCTCTTCCGAAACAACATATTTTTCTTCTCTCCCTCTAGCAATGAACCAAGTTGAATGCATCGATCGCCGCGCGATCAACGGCAACAATAGTCTTGAACGGTGCAAACTCACGGAAATCCTTGATCGGGTGCTGAGGATGGTGCACCCAGAAAACGACCCAACAGAAAGCGCGCCGTTGCGCTCTTTCTGCCACGCAGAACAGCAACCGAGAGCTTGTCCTCTGTGCCAAAACTGCACCGGGGGGCAGAGATTTTGCGATGCATCGAGCAACCCGTGCGGTGCGAATCCCCAACCCCATCGCTCAAACGGCCACGATGGCAGAGACCCCGGCAACGGCACCGAGAGGGAGAGACCGCCGGTTTCTGCCCGAAAGGTGCGATTCTGCCACCGCGTAGAAATACTGACCCGCCAATCGGAATCGGTCACCATCGATAGCGAACGCCTCAAGCCACCCATGGCGACGGTCAAAAGCAACCTCGAGATCGTCCTCCCGAACACAACAAGGGAAAATCCCGAAGGCGCCGCGATAGACCGGCTGTTTCGTCCACCCGCCGTGGCCCGCGGCAGGATCTCAGCGGGAGCGGGCCACAACCGCTGGGCCYCGGAGGAASGGAATCCACMCATCGACCACGTCCCGTCCATGCCGYCGCGAAGGGGACGGAACGGCCGCCGCAAGATCGGAAAGGATGCCGSCACCGGCACGCGCACAAACCGACGCCGTTAAGGATCGCCGCGACCGCACCCGGATCCAATGCTCTCGAATCCTAGTTCCACGATTGCAGCTTTTGAAGACATTTTTCTCCACCATTCACAAAGCACAGATGCATCACGAATTGCAATGTAACTAATTACACTGATTTTCAACAACTATTGCTCATCAACCTACACGTAAAATTAGAATGCTTGCGAGAACTCGGTTCGTCGAACGTGGCTTATCCAGAAGGTTTTAGGCATTGACCAGTCCGGTTGTCCGTTGGAATGAAAGGCTTGGATCGTATCTCGCATCCCRGATCGAACATTGCGGTTGCTGCAATGGCAACGGCCCGGCTTGCCGTTTTGGGAGAAGGGAACGATTGATTCCTCTCCGCTACCGCATCGCCTCGTGCTTTGCTTAGCGTCTGGCACAACACCGGAAGCACCCTTTCCACGAGTGTCCGGCGAGGCCCGGCTTGGTTGTGGCGACCGTGTCTGGGGCCGGCGGGTGCCCCCTCGGGGGAAAGCCCTCGGTTCGGTGGTCGCCACGCGGCAAGGCCCGCAGCCGCCCGCAACGAGGCGGTCCGTCCGGGCTCTGTTCACCCTGCCCCGACGTGCGACCGCAGCCGCTCGGTGAGGCCCGGGAGGTCCTCGAACCCGCGGTAGGGCCGCAACGTGAGGAGCCGGTGCCCGCTCCCCCGAAAGAAGTCCAGGATCGGGTCCGCGTTCCGGTGGTAGGCCCTTAGGCGGTCCCCCACGATCCCCGGTGCGTCGTCGTCCCGCCGGAGGCTCGCGTCGCAGGGCTCGCCCCCGGTCTTGCCCCCGCAGGCCTCGGCGGCGCCGTTGCCGCCCGGCAGAAAGGCCGGGAGGAACCAGGGGTCCTTGTCCACTCCGCTGGCGTTCCAGGACCTCCCGCAGCCCGAGCAGCTCCGGCGGCCCAGGAGCTTGGCCTCGCAGACGAAATCGGGCACGTCGAGGTGGACCACCGTGGCCACCCCCAGGGACCCCGGCCAGGTGGCCTCCATGAGCTCGACCTGCCGCAGGGTCCGCGGAAAGCCGTCGAGGACGTAGCCGAAAGCGCCGCTTCCGTTTCCGTTTCTGCGTTTGCCTTTGCTCTGGTCCCGCAGCTCGGTCAGCCCCTCGAGGACGGCTCCGGCCACGACGGCATCGTCCACSAGCTTCCCCTCCGACAGCAGGCCGGCCACCTCCGGTCGGAGCCTCCGCAGCAGGTCGCTGGCGGTGACCAGCGGTATCCCCAGGTCCGAAGCAAAGTGCCTCCCGTACGAGCCCTTGCCGCTGCCGGGGGGGCCGACGAGGGCCAGGTTGAGGMGGGAGGGACCGGGGCTCTCGCTGTCGCTGTTGCTCCCATGGCCTTGGCGTCTACCGGAACCCATGGAGAGAAGCCGCTCTGCCAGCGGCGCCGCCGCGGCTGTTCTCGCCCACGCCGCGGTTCCGGCGGCGAGGGAAGAAYCCAGGGCGAATCTGTATCTTCCCCTGCCGCTGCTCGGGAATCGGTACATTGGAGACGGTGGGAAGGCGGTGGTTTTTGTTTTTCGATCGGTCCTGCYGCTAGACCGACCGCGAGGTTTTCTTTCTGTTGTTTCTGTGCCGTGTCTGTTTTCCCGCCTTGGCGAGTGCCGTGCCTTGGTTGCCACAGGCGCGATGTGTGTGGTGGGATAGGTCGGGTTACCGATGGCAGGAACAGTGTTTGTGAGGATACCGCTGGATCACGAGTAGCTAGTATGGTATCGTACCGTACCGTATCGTAGTATCGTACTGTACGGTATCGTATCGTATGAGCTGAGGTACAGGATCGAACGGAGGAGGTAAACGTACGGTACCGTACTATCGTACGTACGTACGTACCGTCGGCTACAACAACATGACCAACCAGTGCTTTACGAGAAGTACAGTACGAATTCCCCAGCACGGCAGACGCATTTTTCTAAAACCTCGCGAACGAGGTGTTCCAGGAAGAAGAGTCCATTACGTGCCGTACGGTACTTCTGGTACGTAATGGAAAACCCGAGCGTCAAAAAGTGTCACACTCAGCAGCACAACAACCACAACAAATCTGTCCGTTGTTGCGCAGCCCTACCCACGATTACCTGAGCGTACCCGTAGCGTACTCGTAATCGTACCGGTACAAACACAAACAGCGTACAAAACYCATTGTTGTTTCGGTATCGTACTTTTTTTTTTGGTACCGCATCGGATCCCTCGGAGGAGAAACAGAAACCCTTTGTTCCAAAAAGGACGAGCGTAAACCACGCCATCGAACAAATCAAAAACGAACACGAAGGGCCATCGCACCGACAGCGCTCGCAGATCGAATACCAATACCAAACGGGTGTTGTTTCGGACCGCAGCAGTATTGTTTCTCACGGCAGCATTGGCATTGGAAGGCGTCGTTCTCCGCTCCTTTCTGGACCAGTCAAGACTAGCAAACGAGTGTGTGAACACCAGCAGCAGCAGCAGCAACACCAGCAGCACGCCAAAGATTCCGCCGGCATGTCCTCCTCGGAAGCAGCCCGCAGCAGCAGCAGCAGCAGCAACAACGGCGACCGGGGCAAAGGCGGGGACCACAACTCCCGAGCCTACCGCCACCCCGCCATGATCCAAAAGGTGATCGAGCACCTCCGGGACGAGGTAGGGATCAACTTTCTGGCCCTGGACTTCGACCAGACGATCCTGGGCATCCACACCCGGGGGGTCTGGAAGGGCTCCCTCGAGGAGCTCTTCCCGCACGTCCGCCCCGTCTACGCCCAGCTGATACGGGCCGCCCTGGCCGGGGGAATCGAGGTCGCCGTGGTGACCTTCACCTCCCAGACCTTCTTCGTCCGGGGCGTCCTYGACCACGTCTTTTTCGACTTTGGGGACGCCGGGGGCGGGGCCATGGACGCCAAAACCCTCTCCGGCCTCGGGCTGGCGGTACAGACGGCGGGGGGCCACKTTGTCGACACCACCCGGAGGATCCCGATCCGGGGCGGGGACCGCTCCTGGAGGTACCACGGGACCGGGAGCYGCGACGGCAAGCAGCCCCACATGGCCAGCGCGGTGGAGGAGCTCGAGGCCCGGCGGGACGAGGACCACTCCCGCGAGCGCAAYGGCGAGCGCGGAAGCAACGGGGGTGCGTGTTGCGGCCCGCCCGAGCCCATCACCCGACGGACGACCCTCCTCCTGGACGACGACGCCCGGAACATCCGGGTCGCCCTCCAGAACGGGACCCGGGCGGTCTGGTTCGACCCCAAGCGGCCCGACAAGCTGCTGCCGGAACTCGCCAACCTGTCGTAGCAAGGACGCCACGCGAGCAGGGCAAGTGCGGAAACGAAACGAAACGAATTAAAACGAAACGAATCGACAGCGCAACGACGGCTGTTTTGCAAGGAACCGCAGAGTAAGAGTAGCAAAAGTAAACAAGCATTTATTTTTTCCAAAAAAAAAGGGACAACGGGATTGGAATGCATTGCACTGCTTGTTCAAAAGGATGTCCAACTAGGCGCCATCTCGTTGTCTTGCTGTTGCACCTTTGGTTAGCAGCAAAACGAACNATTGGAATGCATTGCACTGCTTGTTCAAAAGGATGTCCAACTAGGCGCCATCTCGTTGTCTTGCTGTTGCACCTTTGGTTAGCAGCAAAACGAACATACATATACAATTCTACTACATGCATCATGTACTTTGTTCATATCCTACTGACCAAAAAATCATTAAGAGGAGCCCATAAATCGACTACTTCACTTTGTATTTCCCTCCAGGGCACCAGGGAAGGCCATGCCAGAGCAGGGCATTGGAAAAAAAAATGCTCCAAAAGATCATCCAGGGGAGACATCTGGTGGTGAAACATTCATAACAATTGAATCATTAACAAAACCAACAATAGGCATGGTGGTGCTTGACAAGAGTGCCCAAATGATAGGACTATGTGCAGAACCTAGAACAGTACCATGTATTTGAAACCTAGAACTGTGCTCATACTAGTAGGATGAATTGGTGATGCAATGGAAGATTTTCAATTTGAAGTGTGTTTCCTTCAACGTTCAAGCAAGGACACAGATAACATTTTTGTGAATATCATATCCTCTCCCTGGAATACTTGAAAGGGAGATGAGGATCCTATTGTAACATGATGAGGTATCATTGTCAAAGTTTGCAAAGTAGTAGGCCTTCTTCTTGTCAGGCAAGAAAAGCAAAAATGTAATTGTTCTGTACTAAGGGTGACATTCTGGACTTCCTTGCCAGGTGGACCACCAAGCTCACAGGGTGCACCAGGTTGCACTCTGCCCTGGCTTTCTGAATAGCACTTCTTCATTTGGATCCCAGGAGAAAATTAGAATCAGCTTAATATAAATGGATCACTCAAAGTCTGTGTACCTTAGTGCTAGTACCAGGATCTTTGAATATCATCAGATATACAAAAGCCTGCCACTGCTTGAAGGAGTATCAATGCTTGAGAGCATAGTTGAGGATGGCATTGTAAAAGTAAATGATAGAAGCTTTGATTTTGCCATTCTTGTTCTCCAAATTGCCATAGACATTGTGCTTGAGTTTCATCATCAATATCCATTGCAAGATTAGCTTGTTCTACTAGGAGGAGGTACTACTAGGAGTCTTGTTTGACAGAAGAAGACTTCTCCAGGAGGCCTTTTAATGTCATTTGTAGCTATTTCATAGTATGGGATTTGATTTTAATAGCAGTGATATTCAAGGAAATATGTAGTAGCTATTGCAGTAACATCTAAGTGCTTGTGTTTCTGGTGGAGGATCTGACTGTACACAGAGTGATATTTGTTTTATCAGCGGTATGATTTCCACTGCTCTGGAATATTCACACCTGAGGATGGTGCTTTCTTATGTGGCCTTCCACCAGGATGTGACCTTGTTATTGCTGCCTGGCTACTAGTAGCACTAGTAATACAGGTGCTTCTATTAGAGGCATTGGAGGCATCATCAGCATACTAATGACGATGTTCACCACCTTAATCATCAGCAGTGTCATCTTTGGCAGCTTCTTGCTGTTGTTCTTCCATGTCCATTTCTGCTGTTCTTGTCTTCAGAAGCATCTAATACTCTTTCGATAGCTTTATTAATTATTATTATGAAGCACTTGACGACTTGATCCCAAGTGAAGAGTCAGGCTTCGCATTCGTCTTGAAGTTTGGATTCTTGGGGAATAGGTTTACAGAGGCTGGGACGCTGGGTTGGTTCATGTTATGTTGTGAACCCGAAACTGTGAAGGATCTTCATAATAGCACCTTCGGGCTACTCGAGAAATTAGGAAAATACATGCCTTCCGTACGGCGCAAAAAAGATATATTGGTCGTGCGGCGTGACGCGTAAACCAAAAAACAAAAAAATTCTTAATAATCGTGTCACTTAGTGTGTAATTACACTACCAAGAAATTCGTAATTGATTCTCTGGTACAAAAATGTCGATTTTGATCGAAAGAACGGAGAACTTGGCGAGTTGGGATCAAAGGATATTTTGAAGATTGATTGTTGACCTAGGAGAACGAGTTTCTCTGCTTGAACGAAAAGGGCACAGCAGTGCAAGGAAAGTGCTTCTTGTCCCACTCCAAGGAGATTGACCGCGCCATGGGCTTTCCGACGGACACATTTTACGAGGCCTTCCCCTGGGCCCGGAAAGTCCACACGTTGCTCAACCAGTGGACGAGCCACRTTCCGCCGCCGCCCCTCCCCGACCCCGGGACGAAGCGCAAGATCCTCCTGATCACCGCCCATCCACTCCCGGAAAGCTTTTCCATGGCGATCGCCGGGACCGTCGAAGACACCGCGAGGAAGGAGGGGCACGAAGTGCAGCGGATCGACCTCGGCCTTGAGCGGTTTTCCCCCTCTCTGACCGGGGACGAGCGGGCCGGCTACTTTCTGGACCGGGACCAAGAAACGAGAAAGACCCTGCCGCACCAGATCCGGGGCTACATCCGGAAGCTCCGGTGGTGCGACACCCTGTTTGTCGTCTATCCCACCTGGTGGATGGGCACCCCGGCAGTCCTCAAGGGATTCTTCGACCGGACCCTCCGGCTCCACCACACCTGGGGCTTTCCCGAGGCAGCGTCGCCGGCGAGCATCCTCCCGGCGGGCCTGGCTCCGGGATTGACCAACATCCGCAGGGTGGTGGGGATTTCCACCTACGGGGCCTCCCGAGCGGCCGTCCTCGCGGCGGGGGACAACGGCCGGAGCATGATCTCGAGGCCCATCACGGCCGTCTTTCACCCGGACTGCACGGTCCTCTGGCACGGGCTTTACGACATGGATTTCACTACCCTGCCCCAGCGGCAGGCCTTTCTCCGGGAGGTCGAAGCCACGGTGAGGGACCGGGTGTAGCAGGCGAGGCAAGCGGGTGGGCGGGCAAAAACGAGCGTTGGCATTCAAAAACAAACCTCTGGTTAGCGTGTTACTGTGATTGTTTAGCTTGAAAGTTATGCAGTTTAATTGAAATAGTACATTGTAGGGTGCTGAAAAATTCCGGTTCGCGGTGCGTAGCGAGATTTTGCGAGATCGGATTGTTTTCGTTTCGTTTGGTTTGGTTTGGTTCTAAAAAATTGTAGCGTTCGTTTTTTCCTTCTTTTAGTCGTCTAGCGAAACGACGGAAGGACTATTTGCATAATGCCGGTTGCCGGGCCGTGTACCCCCCGGCACGCCGTGGTCTTTCTCGTCGTCCAGCTCCGGGACCCCTTCCTCGGAGCTCTTCGTCGAGAGATCGTCGACGACGGTGGGGGGCGGGTCGTTCTGCCCGCTCGACCGTTTCTTGGGTTTGCGCTTTTTTCGTTTCTTCCTCTTCGACGCGGCCGCGGAAGCGTCGCACTCGCTGGTGCTCGGCGTCTCGCCGCAGCCGGCAAGCAGGATTTCGGGCGAGACATCCTCGTCGYAACGGGTCTCTAGGCTGCAGCCCCCCGTTGGATCTTCTGCGTTCTCCGGTGTGTAGCCGGTGGTGAGGTTTTGCGACGAGGGAGGATCCGACTTCTTTTTGGTCGGAACCGGAGCGGGYTTCTCCTTTGGTTGTCGATAGGAGGCGACGATCGATGCACAGCGCAGCAGCTTGTGGCACACAACGAGYACGAGCACCACGCCGATCAGCGCTATTCCACCGTCGTAAAACGAGGACCAGGCCGAGAGAAAACGCTGCACCGCTGCGCGCTGGCCGAGCATCGAAAGCAAGTTTTGGAACCGCCCACGGGCCCTCTGGACTAGCTTCTCGGCCCATGCTTGCGATTCCGCGGACGTCGACAGATATCCAATCACTCTACTGGATTGGTCACGTACCAGACCGGAAGCACGTGCGAGTGTCTGGTAATGATCGTCCGTCAAAGCAAGTCGCAGAATCCACGGAACAAAGTGATCTTTCATGGTCACTATCACTTGCGATGCCATGAGAATACCCCAAGTCGCCAATGTAGAAACCAAAGAGATGACGARTTTGTTGAACATTCTCATGCTTGCGGGCTCCAGTATTTGCTCTTCKAGCCGCAGTAGACGATCCTCCTGGTCTCGCCGTTGTTTTTCCATCTCCATGGCCAGGTCTACTACGACGCGCTTGTAACAACTCACGGACATCTTCGCGAACTGGTCTTGCACGGACAGACTGGTTTGCAACGCAAAAATCTCGTCGGTGAGTTTTTTGAAGATCGGTTCCATCATTCTTCCTCCTGGCGAGCTACCGGCGGCGTTCGTAGATTTGCGCGCGGCCGAAACCTTGCTCTTGAATTCCGCAAAGTCGAGGTTGGCGAGGCATTCCGCACTGGGGAGATCTTTGAGCAGCTTTGCGATCGCCTGGTTCATGGGATCATTGGTGTCCTCGACGMTTTCTTTTTCGGCGGGTGGAGTAGCGTCTTCGCCCTTTCTAGGATTCCCGGTCGCTTCCCCAACATCTACCTGTTGCTGCGCYTCRGTGGCTGTCTCTGCTGGACTGTCGTTGTCTTCGTTTCGCACTTTGCTAGCATCACTCCGTGACGACTCAGTTGTAGCCGACGCATTGTCGGTATGAGTACTTGGRTTCAAGTTCACAACGGAAGAAATCCCACTTCCGAATTTCTTTTGAAGATACGAGGATTCGTCAAAGTAGCCATTCATTTTCGGAGAGGAAATGGCGCTGGACTTCTCGTCCTCCRTTACTAGTAMWGCAATATCATCACCGATCCTCGATCCAATGGAATATATCGAGTCGATGGCCAATTGACTGAGTTGGTGAACGGTTCTCAATTCACCCTCTTCAGAGTTGCTACCAATGTCGTTTTTGGAGTGYGCTGGAAGGGTGTCCATGGTATGGGGGATGARGTCGTACAGATCGGAGAACAGCTTTTCTTCCTCCATTTCGCTTTGGAGTATTTCGGAAAATGTCTTGGGCGTTCGAAATTTAGCTAGAGGAAGTCCCATTTGTGACGTTACAGTAAAAGAAGCTGAGGGATCATTGTGCGAATTTGAATTGACTTTCTCGAATGCGTCAGGATCGCCTGTTTCTGCAGACCCTTCGGAATCAGAATCGTTGCAAGAWGAARCTGAMGAATTCGAAGCTTTGCCATCATCGACTATGGCTTTTTCTTTCACACCTTCCTTATTCGTATCATTTACCTCGTCTTCTGTAGCCTCGGTTGATTTTTCGGTACCGTAGTCAGCTATACGGTCGTCGCCTTGTTCATCGTTGTTTTCCTCAATRCTTTCCCATTGTTCGTGGAAGCCCTGTACCATATTGCTTCCATGGACTTTGATTTGGCTGAGTGTTAAATAGTGTTCAAATCCATGGTACGTCAAAAGCTTAAATTTGAGGTATCTCGCCCACGTTGGATCTTTCACTACGAATGTTTGCTCTCCCTTGGMAGATTCTGCTTGGTATGTACCCAAATCGACCCATTTCACAAGATCGTGACTTCCCTTGACCTGGAAGTCCTTTACTGTTGACGAAAAGCGCTCGTAGTTAGCTAGCTTGATTTCTTTCACCAGGATGTCTTCGGACAGACTCAATACAACGTATTTTTTCTCCTCGCTGCATGGCACAATTGCGTATCTGTCACGATCTCCAGTGATCAGGTTGGAAGTTCCCTTGAATTCTGGCGTCTTTTCGATAATCAAAGCGCCTGCAGATTTGCTAGCGTAGTCCAATGAGACTCGCTCTGACAAATCTTCATCTTCATCTTCGTCTTCTACTTCTTCTTTGACTTCTGATTCCTCACTGCCTAATTTTTCTTTTCCATCGGTAGATTCTTCAAAAACGTCTCCATCGCCCTCCGTATTTTTGTCTTCTGTTGYATTTGACTGAATGTATTCTGCWTTYTCCGAATCTTTGATCTCTTCACTGTCCCCATCTGCGCTAGATGATTCATCAGCATCAACTTGTATGATCTCATCACTTTTAGAATCTGCTTCCGCATCCGTTGTAGTATCCTGTTTTGCGTGGTCTGCCGATTCATCGCTTGTTGTGTTTGTCTCCATGTCATCGTCCAGAATAGAGAKATCGATTCTGATATCGTCATCTGTTGAGTCGTCATCTGTTGAGTCGACATCGGTTGATGTGTCAGTACTTGTGGTCCCTATGGCCATTTTTCCACTTTCGACCATGTCTACCACTTCGTCGTCCACCTCTGGTGAGTCTGTGCTAGTTGTACCAATTGTTGCTTCTTGTTGTTCTATTATCACATCTTGCGCTGTATCTAAAAATTCAATTTCATCTTCTTCATCTTCCTCATTTTCATCCTCATTTTGCTCTTCATTATTTTTATCTTGCTCATCGTCGTTATCATTGACGAAATTCGCGTCGTYGTCACCATCGTCATCGAACGGGCTTTCCTTGTCTTTTTCTGGTGACGAACCGTCATGTGAATCTTTTTTTCGTTCGGTGGCCATGGACGTCGCCATTCCAACGTCGGTTTCTTGCTTGTTGGATCCATCATCACCATCATCTTCCGTGAGATCATCACCATCATCTTCCGTGAGATCATTACTATCGTCAACATTTATTACGATTCTCTTCGACAAGGCTGGAAGACGAAAGCCGTCTTCGTGKACGGCTTCGGTAGCGCTCTCCCCATTCTCGATATCTGCGCTTCCCTCCTCCTTTTCATACTGTTGTGGCATATGCTGCTCATCTACAGCATCCATTCCTGTTTCGGGACTTCTGACAGTACTATCGCTAACCGTTGAAACGRCATCGTTGTCTGCATCACTGGTAGTCGGAGAGGATGAATATTCGTTTCCAGGAGTTATTATTATCGTTTCTACTTCCTCATAGTCCTCACCATCACCTTGAAGTTGACTTTCTTCATGGTCCAGCGATTTTTTTTCGTYGTCTTGCTCTGTTTGGAGTCGTGATTGAGGCTCCTTTTGTTGTGTTGGTTTGTCCTGCCGAGAAAACTCCCCGCTTGCAGTCGTGTCAATGGCGGAATGTTCCGTGTTCTCGTCATCCAGCTGGTCTATCGGATCGACGAGAATGCCACTATGAACATCGTTGTTTGATAGGAGAGATGAAGCCGGTTCATCAGCTAACAGATGAGGCAGAGCACTGAGCAATAAGACGACTGCTGCCCGTTTCCTCATCCTCATCGTTCMAATGTACGATCCGATTCTCACTATATTTCGTTCACGACTGTCTTGTGTTTTTCGCAAGCTTATCGCTAAATAGTATCAGTTGTCTTTGTTTCCTTCCAAGATGCCTTTATTTGGGCTCCTTACTTTGCAGTAGTAAACATTGCTTTCGTCATGAAGTTGCCCCTCGAGTTAACGTTCGTGTTTGTTGTAAAGGGTGTGAAATGTTGGTAGGCTCCTCACAAAGGGTAGCAGATTAATAATGTATGATTCGAGTGATAGGCTGCGAGAAAGAACGAGACGTGTAAATCGATGGAAAATCGATGGAAAATCGATGGAAAAGATGTTGAGTTGCGTGATTGGTTTTCAAACCGTGTTTCAGCGTTCAGATCGTTCTCACATGACACGGTGCGCTGACATGCACATGCTGGGTTTCTTTCCGGTTCGGTGTGGGCAGTGGTATGAGCCCTAAAACACAGTGACGTAGCGTGAAGTAAGAACTAGTGGTTCAGAACTCTTTTTTCTAGAGAATATCTCAGCGCGCCAAAAAATGGAATGTTTGCTTYGCAAATTTTAAACGATTTGTGACACATTTCACGGAAAATTGCAAAATCGAAAACTAACGGAATGATTTTTTCCCGAAAGCAATGCTTCGAAAGGAAGAAAGAGCAGTAAAACATCGAGCCAAAACAACTTGAATACGATAGGGTGACATCTGCTATGCCAGATTTCACGCAAACAAGATGATATTTTAGTTTTCAACGGCCATCCAATGAAAGTCGCAAATGACAGCATAACGACGATGATCGATTTAGCGGGAGAATACCGACGATCGAGCAAGGAAAAACAACATGTACTGCATTCACAGAACACGCTAGAGTTGTTCTGTTCACTTGTATTCCTACATTAKAGGGATGTCAAGGGGAGGCCATTGATTGTGGCCTTTCTCCCGCAACTCACATGGTCAACAATGTCCGTGTGGTCTCAAGAACCCGTTGCGATCAAGCTAAACCCGTGCGTAGCAATCATTGAATAGTACCATCGATGTACTAGTCTATTTGTTTTAACATTGACTGCCCAAGAGTTAGTGTCTGGGAGAACACAAAAACGCACGGCGTTTCATTCCTAGCAACACCGAAAAATGATGATTTTCGACACAATGCACGAAGGGCATTGCRACGAATGTAAAGGTCGCACTGGACGCATTTGCGAGAGCGATGCTGCGGAACCAATTGGATTTGTTGGATTTGTTATGACGACGACGGCTAGGAGCGACAGCTTTGAAACCTGCTAGTGCCAGGATTGCCCGAGATGGCCCTATTTGCAACCGAACATTTAGGAAATTTCTGTGTTAGTATTCGAGCTACAAACAACAATAAACGATGGGGATCTGGCCGGGCTCCGCCGTGGGGTCTGGAGCAAAGCCCCAAATATTTGCGGCGAGGGAAAGAACTCTGCGGCCCCGTGTCTCAGCCTGTAGGCTTTACGACAGGCTTTTCCACCACCATGCWTGCCGTCTTCTTAATCGGAAAGTACCTGGGACTCTTTTGGAACGTAAATATTTCGTAGCATATCATTTCAAAAGCGAATACAGTAACATTTTTGCGAAAAGTTTGGCTGCGTTTGTTGAATACGTTTGGTAGACGTTTTCAGACAACATTTCTCCTATCAAATCGATATCCTGCTTCTCTTGCACGACAACAATTTCTAATACCACAATTCACAAAATAGTTACTGGTTAACTAAACTATTACAAACTACTGCGATGGAACGGAAAGGAGGCGGTGGATCGAATGATTGGATATGCATGCTAAGTGGTCTTCCGTTCCGATACATTTCAATRGCTACTACAAGTAGTTGTTTGTCCCGTGTGCTTTGTTCATTATCCTCTCTTGACCGATGMCGTCGATGCGATTTACATGATTCCCAACAACTCGACATCAAAGTACAGGGTGGCTCCCCCGGGGATGACACCCCCGGCTCCACGGTCTCCGTATCCGAGTCTTGGGGGGATAATAATCTGTCGACGCTCGCCGATCTGCATCTGCGAAAAAGTTTCGTCCCATCCCCGAATCACCTGTCCCTTTCCAACGGAAAAGGTGAAGGGTCGTCCCCGGTCTCTGGACGAATCGAATTTTCGGATCGAATCAAAGCCGTCCAACCATCCGGTGTAGTGCGCCTGGAAAATTTTTCAAGTCGTTCGATTGGATCATAGAATGCAAGAGAAGGAATATTAGATACGAATTTCGTTGTTCACATCCATCCGATGAAATCATGAAAATAAAATCGATCATGGTGTGATCACTTTGTCCAACACGACAAARTATGGTGTCGAGACCAAACGCCGGCAGTTCTGCTAACGATTTGACGTTTTGATCCTCGCAAATCACTCCGCGGTTTGCTCACCTTGACGGTTTGGCCCGCGGCGGGAATGGCTCCGGTTCCCTCCTTGGTCACCTTGTACTTGAGGCCGGASTCGGAGGTGATAAATCCGTCCTTGTCCACCTCGACCGCAACGTCGGCGTCGGCGGAAGCGGCGGGGGTGTTCAGGATCGTTCCGGCGGCCACGGCGGCTCCGGCGGTTCCCGCCGTCTTGACAAAGGCCCGGCGGTCCGTCGAAGAGGACATGGACATGGAAAAGGAAGCGGCCGATCCGGCCAGGGCGAGAGCGAGAAGTGCGGTGAAAAACTTGGCCATGATGGATTGTTTCCGGAGGAATAGATAGAGGCGGTTKGGTTTCTGTGAGTAATCGGTATCGATTWTGTCCGCAACGGGAATTGCCATAGATCGATTTTCTGTAGTGTGTGCCCGGGGATGCTTGTGTATCGGATCTGGCGAGATCTACGACGATTTGTCCGTTGTCTCGGTAGCGTCGACCAATCACGCCCCGATGCGTTGTTGGCCGGATTTCGTTTCCAAATCCTCTGAACCCGGGGAGGCCGAAGAAGAACGGCGTCAGTCGCAAAAACCGCAGGATCTTTTGGCCTCGCCTTCCATCGCGTAGGTTGTAGCGATGCGAACGGAAAAAAACTTCCTCCACGCCCCCTCCAATCTACGCACTTCAATTGCCAACGCACACGGTTCGGGCACACTCCCAAAGAGAACTATGGGTGCGTTTTTCTGACGGACGAATGCTAGACTTCTAGATCCCGTCACGACTGAAATCTGACTCAATTTCGAAAACATGATGTACCGTTTTGGAAAACAAGAATTTCTCGCGACGTACCATACAGTTCTACGGTCTCATTCCTTGTACGCGAACGCAAGAAAGCACGTACCGTATGCAACCGCCCGACGGTCTAGCGATTCCGAACACAACAGCAAGCAACGAACAACACCCATGGCACCTGCTTCGGACCTTGCCGCGTTGCCCATCGGTTGGTCCCTTTTTTCGTGGCTGCGGCGGATCTTCGGATGGCCGGACGTTCGGTTCATGGTCCACGACCGATGGGCCAACGTCCTCTTTCTCCACTGGAGGATCCCGGCCCACCTGGAGGCCGTCCTCGAGGCCCACACGGCACCCTTTCGCCTCGATCGCTTCGATGGGTCGGCGTGGATCGGCCTGGTCCTCCTGACGGAAGAAGGGGTCGGTCCGTCGGTGGGAMGAACGGGTTGGACCTGCGTGACGCACCACGGGATCAACGTGAGGACCTACGTGACGGGGGCCACAACAGGGCCCCTCGACGGGGACCTTCCGGAGCTGCCAACGGAACCCACACAACAACCGAACCAACCGCCACCTCCCAAACGACCACCACAACCACAACTTCCACCAGAAGACWCCCGCGGAATCCATTTCTCGTCCCTGGAGTGCGACGATGAGTTTACCTCGCTCGGGGCCAACCTCTTCGGGATGCCCTACCGGGTTTCGAGGATCGCCCGCACCTATTTCCGGGCCGGGGATGCGACCGGCTACCGGATGCRCTCCGAGCGGCTGCCCTCGGGCGCCCCGTCCCTCCTCCGGTGGTGCTTGGCTTCCCTGCGGTGGTGGAGGCCGCGGGTCCTCCACTCCACCACCTCCGAGGAGACCGGGAMRGACCCCCAAACGCCACCGACCGGYGGTGCTTCCACCGGAACCACCTTTGCGGTCGACTGCTCCTGGAGCAGCTTTCGAAGGGCCCGCGAAAGCGAAAGCCCCGACCGGCAAGKCCGCGCAAGGGCCTCCCTGTTTTCCGACTGGGCGTGCGAGCGGTATTTCGTGTACACGGAACAATACGGGACGCTCTGGCGCGGGGAGGTGGACCACGAGCCCTGGCCGATGGAAGAGGGCGTCTTGCTMRGGGACCTCTCGATCGAGGGCGTCGGTTCGTACGATCCCCCAGGGATGCGGCCGGTCCTCTCGCACATGGCGGAGCACAAGCCGGAAAAGGTGGGGTTCAGCCGCGGGGTGGGCCCCGTGCGGTTCCGAATGCTCCGGCCGCTGGACGCACGGGGATCGAGCGCGGAGCACCATGGAAGGGCCCTTTGACGAACGGGGAGAAAAGACGAGACGCGCGCCGACGGGGGGGAACCAACAAGGCGCGCSYGGTGTGCTTTTGTGGCGAACGCCGGACGATTCTATTGTACTATATTGTAAAAGTGTCTTATTTCTATCGAAATCTCCGAGACGTCGCCATGATTTTGGAAGAACCATTCGTAGGACATGATGTGTTCTTGATTATGGGAACGTTTGTTGGTGTTTGAGCACATCGATCGAGGGACGAGATTGTGCTGCAAGGCACGATGCGCGTCGATTTCTGTGCTATCCGTAAAAATGCAGCCGTCACCAAASCGTAGCCATCGAAAACTCCGTTGGCTCGTTCGTCGGTGGTTTGTCTCGTCTCCCTGCCGTTCGGACGTTTTTTCATTGGTTTCTCGGCAGTGCGGTTTCGCATGCGCCGGGATCGTGCCGCACGGACCGGGACCGCAACGCGCCGGCTCTCTTCTCTGGATGTTGCGGTGAAACGAAGGGAGTCGCCGTGGCACCGATCTTGGAGCGCAGCCCGCAATCCTTGCTGTTCTGCCCTGCCCTGCACCATTCCGCGTGTGTTGCGGTGCCTTGTGTTGTGTTGCGTTGCGTTGCCTTGTGTTGCCTTGCGTTGTGTTGCTGCCCCGTGTCGTCCGTTTCCCCCCGGAAGGCCTTTCGCTACCGCGGCCGCTGGGCGAGGCTGGTGACGACCGCGACGATCGCGTCGGGCTGCTCCCCCCGCTTGAGGAGGTCGAGGATGGCCCGGAGGGCGGCAGGGCTCAGGCCGGTTTCGAGGCGGTCCGAGATGGCCACCACCAGGTCCAGCTCGGTGGAGGGCTCTTGGCCGCTGGCAGCGGAAGGGGGAGGACAAGGGGTGGCCGGAGCCACGGCGGCAGCGGGAGGAGCAGCGGAAGGAGGAGGAGGCTTGGGAGCGGCGGCGGGAGCAGCGGAAGGAGGAGGAGGTTTGGGAGCCGCCCCTTCCGAAGCGTCTTTCCCGGAAGCCTTCCTGGGGGGGAGTCCCCCGCTCCCCAGCCGGGTGTTGTGGAAGCGGGAGAACCGCCGGGCGTGCGCCGCCGAGGCCGCCCCGGAGGGTTTCGCCTTGGCTTCCGCTGCCGCCGGGGGGGGATCCCCGGATCCCCCCCCGGCGGGGGAAGGGACCCTGGCGCGGGCGGCGTCGTAGTGCCGGCCGCGGAGCTTGGCCATGGCGGACGACTGGGACTGGGCCATGGTGGTTGGTTTTGTGGTTTGGCTGCTGCCGTGTCGTGCCGTGCCGTGTCTGTCCGCTCGTGGGTGCGCAGGAATGGCAGTGGAGAACGACGAATGGCTCCGATTTCGCAATGGTGCTTGTACTTGTACTCGTACTTGTATTCTTCCTTTCGGGTGTGTCCCTGTGGGTGTGGCAGCTCGCTTGTCCATTGTCAACTGTCTATCGCACCTTGGTCGACGGAGGCATAACATCTCGGCTGTTTTCGATGGGCATTGTTTTCCGAATGGAACTCGTGAAACCAAAAGACGTTAAACAAGCGTTTCAATAGCCATAGATTTTGATCCATGTTATGTTTTCCCTCTTCCCTCCGAGGAGGGAAAAACAGGACAGAGGACAGACGGCATAACAGAGTCGCAAGGACTCGTAGCAAGCAATGAGATGAGATGAGACGTCTGTTTGCGAGGAAACAATTTCCATCTGCAGCGGTTTCAGAGCTCGTACGGTACGTTACCATACCAAGTACCATACTGCATGGCGAATGGCGAGAGCGTCCACAAGCCCGGTCACACCGACAAGACCGCATCGATACCATCCGATGCCACCGCAACCCGACGCGATCGAGTAGCAGCAGCGCAACAAACACACCCTATCGGCCGCCCGCCAGCACCCGCAACGCCGAACGAATGGAGGGCAGCACCCCCGGCCGGAACGACGAGCCGCCGCAACCGCCGCCGCCCCCGGCGGGGGACGCCGGCAACGGCCAGAAGAGGCGGAAGAGGCGGTGGGGAGCGGCCGCACCGACACCCGTCGCCTCTGCACCGGTCCCCGCCCCGGCTCTTTCCGGACCGGTCGACAGCAAGGYCAAGGCCCTCGCCCTCAAGGCCAGCATCGCGGCCCGCCTGGCGGCCCTCAAGCAGTCCAGGGCTTCGGCTTCCGCTTCGGCTTCGGCCGCTGTTTCGGCTTCCGCTTCTGCCACTGCTTCTTCCGCCAAGCGGCCCCTCGCGGCCCCGTCGTCGTCGTCGTTGGCAGCCGCGGACCCCCCGGTGGCAAAGCGCGCCAAGCACTACGAGCTGGACATGACCGTCACCGGGCCCACCTTTGGCCGGGCCACAGAGCGCCTCTCCMAACCCAAGCCCAAGGCCAATCCCTACCTGGCGCACCGTTCGGAGCCGCAAGAGGGGGGCGGGGATGCCCCCACCGCGGCAAACGCCGCGGCCACGGGCGTTGGAGACAGCTCGTACGTCGACGCCCGCCTGGAGGCCGCGGGGCACGACGCAAGGGGCCGGGAAAGGCAGCGCCGCAAGGAGCTCCGCTTTGTCGCGCCGGGGACCTTTGTGGAGGTGGCGGAGCGCAAGCGGCAGAGGGCGGCCAACGCCGTTTCGTCGGGCTTTGCCAGCGGCCGCAAGGCCGGCCAGTACTTTAAGCAGGCGACCATGGGGGCCGGGAGCCACACYACCACCASCAGCTACTACGGGACGACCGAGGTCCTGGACGACCTGGAGGACAGGGGGATCCTGGCCCCCCGGGCCGAGCTCGGGAACGTGACGAACGACCACTCCTCGGGAAGGTCGAAGCACCAGCCCCTGAGGGCGATGCCCCTGGTGGTGGAGTGGTGGGACATGGAACTCCTGCCCTCCAGGCTCCGGAAGCAGGTGGCGGCCTGCGAGGGGAAGGCCCTGTCCGCGGCCACGCAGTCCGAGATGTCGGTGAAGGCGCCAAGGGCTCTTGGCGGGACCACCACCGGAGGGGACGCCTCCGCCGCCCAAGCCAGCGACAAGGCGGGGGACCTCCGGGCCCGGTGCCTGGAGCTGGCGTCGCTCTCGCACAGCAAGACCGCGGGCCTCGTCCAGCACATCGTCCCGGTCCGGCCGCAGGGAGAGGCAAGCAAGAAAGCCGTCGAGCCGGTCCTCTACCTGACCAAGAAGGAGCAGAAGCGGGCCCGGAAGCGCCGGCGGGAACAGAAGCAGCGGGAGCTCCAGGACCTGCAGGCCGCGGGGCTCATCGAGGCGCCGGAGCCCCGCCTGACCCTCCAGAACTTCATCCGCGTCATGGGGGACCAGGCCTACGTCGACCCCTCCCAGATGGAACAAAAGGTGATGGAGCAGGTCCAGAAGCGCCAGAGGGCCCACCTGGAGCGCAACGAGAGCAAGAAGCTCTCGAAGGAGCAGAGGGCCGAGAAGCTCAAGAACAAGATCCGCAGGGACGCCGACCCGGCCGCCAACGCGACGGGGGCCATCCACGTGGCGCTCTTCTTTGTCAAGAACGCCTCCCACCCCTACCACCGCACCAAGATCGACCTCAACGCCCAGCAGCTCGACATATCGGGCGGGGTGGTCGAGTGCGACGTCCCGAACGTGGCCTGCGTCATCTGCGAGGGGGGACCMAGGGCCATCCAGAAGTACAAGCGGCTGATGCTGGTCCGGATGAAGTGGAGGGGGCCGGACGGAGACGACGACGGCGAGAGCGAGGAGGAGGAGGACAGCAGCAACGACCACGCGAACGCCGAGCCGGAGGTCGGCCCGGACGGGATGCCCGTCGAGACGAAGAAAAAAGCCAGGCACCGGTTCGACAAGGAGAACAAGTGCGAGCTGGTCTGGACCGGCCTGTCGACCCGGCGCCAGTTCAAGGGATTTGTCTTTCAGCACTGCGAGACCTCCGCCCAGGTCTACAAGGTCCTGTCGTCCAAGGGCGTCGGACAGTACTGGGACCAGGTGCTGGCGCACGCGAGCGGGTCCGGGGATTCCATGCACCTCAAGCTGGTCGACGACAGCGACGACGACGACGAAAACGAAAACGAGAACGAGAACGGTGTCGAAACCAACAACAACAACAACCACAAACACGGCAGCGGCGGCAATGGGGCGGATCCCATGGAGGTGGACGCGTAGCAAACACACGCCGCAGGGCACCCTCGTGGCTTGYGGCGTGTGGTTCGTTCCACCGATGCGTTGCCGGTTCCAAAGACCGACAGCGAACCCCAGAGAACGCCGATGCTGCTCGTGCAGGCGGAATCGTTTTTCTAGTCCAAACTAAATTAGAACAGTGCAAAATACGCTACGATTACTGATCGGTGCTCCTATTGTATTGTATTGTATTGTTTGTAGTGTGTGTTGTTTTGGAACGGGAGCAAACTCGGGGACAAAGGCATCGGCAAACACCGTACAGCACCGGTAGATCGGGAAACAATGACAGCAGACATGGTAGATAGTGCTAGTTTTACATCCATGCGGCAGGGAGTCGAAGAAGGAGTCGGGGATGCAGGTCGACGGTAGTAACCGTACGATAGTACCGTACGGACTGTTGTTCCGTTTTAGCAATCGTAAAGCCGTTCGGTGRGTTTTTCGATGTTCGAGGAGTACATTCGTGTATTAAATTATTCTGTCAATCCGTCCTCTTTTCGGACTCGAGACATCTCTAAAAATAGAAACGACTACCGGTAAATGGTTCTAGAGAGTGTTAAWTCACGTGATGCAATTTGTGTTGCCGTTCTTTAAGCTCTTTCCCGGGCASTGTTCGGACGGATCAACATSKGTCCACGTCACCCCGTCCAACTTCCAGAACGTGAAACCAACCATCGTCGAAGTCGCGGAGCTTCAACGGCGCCACGAGAAASTCTGCGATCGGGGGCAACGAAGCATCGACTCCCAAGCCCAACCGTGAAGGAACTCTCGGAGGCTCCCTTCGTTTTTCTCTTTGTGTAYGTGAAATACTTCCTCAAGGATGTGCGGGAAACTAAGACCATTTTCAAGTTCCAAAAAGGAACGAAATCGCGATGGTGTGGTTTCCCTGGGCTTCCTAGATACCGTCTGTATGTACSATGTATACGCATCGGTSGCACAAAAATTCGCTCTCGAAGCAAGCATTGTTTTTYGTTTTTCCTCTTTCACATCGGTTTCCTGACACAAACTTCTTCACCATTATTTYGGTGCCACAGCTTTTTTGCTACCATTTTTGACCGGCACACACTTCGATTTAYTATTTTTTGTTCTTCTTCGAAGAAAACTTCGGACGCGAATTGATGAGACGAGGAAGTCATTGTCATCACAGCAATCGCAACGTATCACCGTAATTCACATGGATTGCAATTCCTCCCAACTKWTTCATMATTGCTACGCATGACTCCCCGTTCTCACATCCATTCAAAAAGGAAACACACAACAACACCATGGTAGATTCTTCGTCGTCGACGTCTTCTTCTCTCGCAGCAAGTATGACGGCCATGGGGCTTTTCGTCGTCACGGCGGCTGTCTCTCAGTGGATTCAGAACCATCACGAGAGAAAACGGGAGAATCGCGAACKAACAATGCCCGGTAGGCGGCGATTTGGAAAAGACACGAGCCGAAACAGAAGCACGAGTACTGCTTTTAGCCAAGCCATCGACAGCGATACCGACTATCACGATTTCTACACCGCMTCCGAACTCGACGAGCGGGAAAGAATACAAATTCTACGGCGCAGGGCTTTCCAACGGAGGAGGCTCTCGCGGCGATTGAGTTTCAGCTATCAATTCGAAAGCGGCAGCTCCGATGACAGCACCCACAAAAACAAAAACGGCAACGAGGAACAACAGCAACAACAAACGCGGCGGCAACGCCAAGACGAGGTGGAAGACGACGACAGCTTTTTTGGGAACATCACGTCTTCGCATGGCAGCCGGGTGAGACAACGGCCGCCTGCTCCTCCGACGGAATGGTCTCTTTCGCCGCACCATCCCAAGAGAAAGCCTTTTGGTGAGCATCCGGTGGCATCCCTGCCGCTGGGTTCGAACGGCACCGGAAATCCACCCAGCAGCTACCAGCGATGGCCGCCGATGGGACCATCGCAGGAGAGCAACCCTGTCACCGTTACCACGCGGCTCGTGGCCATCAACGATCGATACCACGACTTTCACCCGAAGTACCAAAACTGGCGCCATTTCGAGCATTGCAACGAACGAGATCGGGCCCTGCAGCGACAAAAGGAGCTCGCGGCAAACCAACAAATAGAAGTAGAARCAAGAATAGAAAAACAGACACATCACGAAGAAATTCCCAGTAACCACTCGCAACAAGAAGCTGGCGAAGTCGCAGCTGAATCAGGAGGATCGCCAAGCGCCGACACTTCYTCCACGACGTCCACAGCAACTCCCAACCGACKGTCCTCTTCCGCARCAATAGAGAACACAAGCGATCAAGAATCCGTATCAACCTTTGGYAACGACAAAAATATCGACAACAAAGTTAGTGACAAGGTGYTTCATCCCAGAGGAAACGAATACGTCTGGACAAATGGTGGTCACGCATCCAAGTATAATCGCCAGATGTCGTCCAAGTCCGACTGTCGTTTCGTGAGTGGCACGGATGATTCCGAGTCATCGTCCTCTCCAAAATGGGACGAACACCAAGATAAGTGGGCTTCGCTTTCGACAATACGAACAAAGAATATTCGCAGCAATCAGGAGGAGCAAAGTCAAATCGGAAAGTTTGAGCGGTTCTACCGCATGCTGTCGAGCAGCATTATTGAAGATGACGATGTACCCACCGCACAAAAGACGCAAGGGAACCAATCTCGAGATTTTTTCGGGGAGCCACCACTCCGCCTGTCGTCCCACGTTCGTGCCCACTCCCGTGCTTCGTCTACTACCGCGGCGGCTAGTGACTACGACGGTGCTGTGTTCGGAGAAGACATCGAAGACCGCCACCGGGCACTTCGAACAGAATACAACGCCCAAATCATGCCCGAGAAGCTGGTATTGATCCGCCACGGTCAATCCCTGGGAAACGTCGACGAAACRGCCTACGCCACCACATCGGACAACGCTATGCCGATCACGGACCTGGGCTGGGAACAGGCCAAAAAGGCCGGAACGATACTCAAGGACAAGATTTTGAACCCGGGCGAATCCGTCCACTTTATGGTCAGTCCGTACGTGAGAACTGTCGAGACCTTCCACGGAATTGTCAGTGCCTGGTGTGATCCCGATGGCCCCGAGTTTGCCGACATCCAAGACCACAACCGCAAGGYCAACGCATGGTACGAGCGATTGACGGAACTGGGCCTAACCTGGAACGAGGATCCACGGATCCGTGAACAAGACTTTGGAAACTACCAGAACCCAGAAGCTACCAGGAAGGCAAAGGAGGAACGTTTTCGGTTTGGTACGTTTTATTACCGCTTCAACAATGGAGAATCTGGATCGGACGTCTTCGACCGGGTTTCGACCTTTCTGGACAGCCTCTGGCGATCCTTCGAAACGAACAAGTCACAGAACTATGTGCTGGTAACCCACGGAATCGTGTTGAGGGTGTTGATGGCACGGTACTTTCGCTACACAATCAGCCAGCTGAACATGCTGGCAAACCCGCGCAACTGCGAAATGGTAGTTCTCGGGCACGCGGGAGATGGCCGGTTGGATTTGGAGGGTCGCTGCGCCCTCGAGATGGAAAAAGACCCCGATACCCAGCAATCGCACGTGAAGGGCTACCAGTTCCACAGACGCCTCCGGATCCTGCCCAAGAGCCACATCCGGACGGTCGAGTTTCGAATATCACCCATGGACAAAAAGAAGACCAAGAAGTCCAAGCAAGAACCACCACTCGCCGGAAGTAGCACAAAGTAAAAGCGTCTAGAGACAAAATCGAGTCGTAGCGTGGGTCTTGTTTGCTTCAAACAACCGGGTGGTTGTATCAGTGCGAACAATTGGACTAGAAAGGCACGAAAACATGCTAAGACTTGTTGTAAATTACCAAGATGGCAAAACAACCATACGTACAGCATCAATTTATTTTACAAAATGAGCAACAAGATGCCCAAGGAAGTCGCCTTGCGCGGCCTTCTCACAAAAACCTGTTTCATAAAATTTCAAATTTTCCTCATGCGGGTTTGGATACGGGTACCATGAAGATGAACTTAATCCCATGAACAGAAATTCGAATATTCAAAATGCATCGATCGTTGAGTGTCTTGTCCCAAATTCAGCAAGATTCGCATCATGTCTCGTTCCGCAGAGTTCAGCAATGTCGATGACGAGGAGTTTTTGAGAGGTTGACGCGCACGATTCGAATATAGCACAGCTTTTCCATGCCGAACAAAATTTGCAAACCAAAAAATTGAGATTGCCAACTCCATAGATGTCTCTGTAACGCCGACTATCGATGATACTCGATGGATTGGAATGAAGAGTATTGTTTTGTTTGATATGAACCAAGAACGAGAAGTGGGAAAAACTTTGAACTTTTTACAACCTAAAAGGCAACAAAAAATACAACAGACCTCGAAGACCATTACAATAGAAAACCTACCTAAATCATTGAAAAGAAAGCAATCAGCGAAGAAGGGATCGTTCTCTCTTTCACGATAAACTCAGTCACGTTGTCACCTCTTTCATTCGGCATGGAAGAAACATACGGAAACGTCACTGGCAATGGGGTTTCAATACCCTCGGAGAATCCAGGTGCTTGCATTCATCGGCAGCATTATTCCTTCCCGACGCAAGGATACCAATGGCAACAAAAGAAGGATTGCGCCACTACTGCAACTACACAGACGACAAGCACGACATTGAATCTCTCTAGTAGTGAGTCTTCTGCGGTTGTATCACTTCAAGATCTTTCTGGAAACCTGATCACTACGACATCCACCACGCCACAAGCGAATCGCRTTATCATCGAAACAGAGTTGTCGAATCTAACGGAATCACCATCAGTGAAAGAATCGGACCGAGAAACCATTGGTGGGAGAAACGCAACAATTTGTGGAGAGTTAATACTCCTTCCAGATCAGATTGCGGCATCCATGATCCGTCTATACCAATTGGAGCTGAAGAAAAACGTCCTGAGATACCGGCGTTTTATTCTGGAACAACGCCTGCACAACATTCAACGAGTTTCTGTTTTTCCATCACCTGAAGGAGATCCACACCCAAAACGTAAAATGGTASTCAATCAGAAGTTCGAGGTGACCCTCAACCATACGAATGGAGACACGGGATCGTCAGATGTTGGGGAGAGAATGTCTTTGTCAAAAGCCTTTCTATACACTGGGTGGCTTGATGCTGCRGGACAGCCACACGATGACAAAGGAATCCTTCGATTCGAAGATGGTCAAGAATACAAAGGAAATGTCTACAAGGGCCAGCGCCACGGATCTGGAATCAACCGCTGGCCCGATGGCCAAAAGTACGACGGAGAATGGCGCCACGATAGCAGATATGGAAGGGGGGCACACACCTGGAACGATGGTCGGACCGTTGCGGGGTCTTGGAAAGACGGCCACTTGCACGGGCGCTTGTTTTATCGGTGGCCGAACGGGGCRGTGTTTGACGGCAACGCCAACATGGGGAAAAAGGAGGGGAGAGGCGTCAGCACGCGCTCGGATGGGAGTGTCTACAACGGYAACTACAAAAACGGAAAGGAGAACGGATTTGGGACGGTGATCCGGCCCGATGGCGTCAAGTTCCGGGGTCACTTCCGAGACGGGAAGAAAGAAGGATACGGTGTCATGCTGTGGCAGACCCGGACCTACGAAGGAGAATGGTCAAACGATAAGCCACACGGGCGGGGCAGGGTTGTGTGGTCGAACGGAGCGGTCTTTTCCGGTCGATTYCAGCAAGGAAGCTTCTCGGGAATGGGGGTCTACACCTGGCCATCCGGAGAGAAATACGTGGGGATGTGGGAGAACGGAGCCAAGTCCGGCCACGGCAMACACACCTGGCCGTGTGGCAAGAAATACGATGGCCACTACACGAATGGCCGTAAAGAGGGATACGGGCGGATGAGCTGGCCGGACGGGTCCGCTTATTGCGGAGGATTCAGGCACAACAAGCGGTATGGACGGGGAATCCAAACCGACCGCGATGGAGCCGTGGTTCACTGTGGCTTGTGGAAGGACAACATTCCCCTTGACGAGGCCGGAGGAACGACGAAGCTGCCCCCGGTCGTAGAAGGGGGCACACCAGRATTTCGATTGGGAATGAAAAATGCTCGTTTGTGGTCGGGAAGCAGCACCGATACAGGTGGGTTGGAGTCGTTCGACCACGTACAACGTGGCGAGAATCCACTTCTCTCCGAATCTCGCCAAGACGCAGATGCCGTACATCATCGATCGTCCATCTGTCAGTCTTCGGGCCCGGCAATCATAGAACGTGTGTGCATTTGATCATTCAAGAATTAGTGCATRTATTGATTAATTGAGCATTTTTGTACTATACATCTTGTTATTACTAATGACATCGACTCGTTATCCAAGTTTGTGACGTTTTTGTGTTTGAACGAGAACACAACCCAGTAGCAGGTATCAGGCTGGAGTATAAACCCGTAGAGTCGTTTTGGAACAAAACCACCGTTTCCGACGACGTGTGCGACTGACACAATGCGAATGCTTCTGGCTGTTCAAAAGAGTATGATGCACTACGACGTTGTGGATGCTGGACTCCCAGAATTGATTGGTGTGGCCCAACACAGCACGCTATTGAGGATTCCCACCCCACGGTCGACTGGATCATGGTTTTTCTTGGTGCGAACAGTTGGAGCCGAAGAGACCCGACTTTGCCGCGTTGCGTCTTACAACAATACTGTGTTTCGAAAATCTGTGTCGCAACCGCTAGCTGTCAAACTCGAACCAACGGAACGGAACGGAATGCAATGCAATGCAATGCAACCCCGCCGAGCCACCCCCGATCGGTGTGTCGAAAGGCCCCGCCTACAGATCCGGGAACCGCATGGTCGGCGCGGGCTCCAGGAGTTCCGGGAACTGGGACACGAGGATGGACAAGACCGCAACCATCAGCGAAAAGTAGCCGATCCAGTTTTGCCGGTAGGGTGCCTTGACCTCCGTCATGAGCTTCTCCTGGGATATGTATCCCTTCTTGCTGGAGCCGGCTCCGTTTTCCCGCTGCTTCTGCTGCTGCTGCTCGATGCGCTTCTGCTCCTTCTCGAGGTCCGACGGATCGATCCAGTAGTCTTCCCCCATGACCCGGCGCACCGAGGGAACGAGGGGGCGGTACTCCTGCTGGGTTGCTTCTTGCGGCGACCGGATCGCCGCCGCAGCGCTTTTTCGGCTCCTCTCGCGGCCGTTGCTTCCGCCCTTGCCGAGGATCCTTGGCACGACCCCACCGGGGGACGCCTTCGCGCCCGCTTCCGAGGCGTGCCTCCTCCTCCGCCGCCGGTCGCCCTCCTTGGGCGTCCGCTTCTTCATCATCCGCCGGGGCTGGCGGGKCTGCGGGGAACGGGGCGCCATGAGCAGGGTCAAAGGGGAGTCGGCATTTGCGCTTGCGTTGGCATTTGTGCTTGCGTCCGCAAAGGCCCGGTGTCTCGCCCGGCTTGCGCCCTTCCGTTCCGTGGTCGTTTGGAACCTTGCCAGGGGCGTGGTGGGCGGTACCAACGAGAAGGCATCCACCTTGTTGTTTGGCACGCCCAGGAAGGACGCCACGCAGCAGGCGCAGAAGCAGTACAGCACGATGGGAGATATTCTAGCAGCAGCAGCGGCGGCGCCATTGTTCCGTTTCCCCCGTCGGAGTTGGCGACGACGGGTTGGGTGCGAAGGAAGGGACACCATCGCACTGTATCGAATGGTGGTGATTGTCAAATTGAATTAAGCAAGCCGTACCGTAGGAAATCCGTGACGAACAATGTGTGCAAGATACGATTGGCTGGACCTCCGCGCTTTCGAACGAGATGGATGTTATGCCTCTGGCTCTTTCGTGGCTCGGTTCGGTTCGGTTCGGTTCGACTCGGTTCGGTTCGACTCGGCTTTGTTTGGTCAGAAAAATGGCTTGGATWCAGATCGACGACGGACGACTCGTGCGGATGGATGGATCCTTGATGGACTCGGTGATGCCTGCACCTGGTATGGCACCGTATGGTACGGTAGCGAGCACGAGAACGTCCGGTTGCTCTTGATTGACTCGTTTCCCGACATTCCGTGCACGCATGACACCTGTAGAATTCGGTTCTTTAAGTGTAAGTACGGTGCCATACGTTATGGACCGTAGAGTGTGGCACAGTACAAGGAATGATAGCGATAGCAAGGGAGCTTACCGTACAAATAGTACGTAGTCCGGTTTTTCTAAGCAAGAACACGTTCCCGGAAGATGACGTAGTGACAAAACGGGTGAAGGACAGACAGAAAGATACCATTGTTTTTGTTCATGGTCTGCTCATCTGTCAGTCAGTCTGGTCTTGAACGAACGCAGGCAGCTAGGGATCCGATAAATTAAATTTGGTCACCCAAAAACTGGATACCAGCTAGTATTACTAATTGTGGTAGTTGTTTKGGAATTTCTAAGAAGGAAAAGCAAAGTATCGAACTTTATCTGCAAATCTAGTGCTAAGTAGACAGCAAGCCATTAGAGAATAAAAGAATTTCTAATTATTTATGGATTTATCTAGTTAGTGATAATAAGAATAGTAGTATTTTTGAAAAATTATCTCAACCCCCACAGTTCATCGAAAGTAAGGAATCGTTATGATTGTTTCTATTGATCAACAGGCCATGGCTGCCAAGAGCCTACCCCTTCTTCTTGTCAGTCAGGATTATGAATTGCTGTAGCAGTACTTTCGAACCCCTCGGAGTGCGCTATAAATACTCCTTGGGGAGAATGACRTTGTCCACAACGTGGGCGATGCCGTTGCAGGTGACAATGTCGGTTGCAATGATCAGCGGCCACACCCTGTTTCCGTTGCCGGCCTGGGATTTCAGTTGGTTTCCGTCTTTGTCTTCTTCGCACTTTGTGATAATAAAGTCGTCGCTGCTGTCGCCGAGCAACGTATCTATTTTCCTGTCGCAGAAGAGTTTCTCCTCAAAGTAGATCCGGTCAGACACGTGGTACTCGAGGATTTCCCGCAGCCCTTCCCTCGGATTCACGAGAAGATCGCTCATAGTTGTCTTGCCGAGCCGCTTGAAGGCTTGGTTGGTCGGGGCAAAAAGTGTATAGGAGCCGTCCCTGTCGAAACGCTCGTCTAGTTCTGCTTCTCCGAGAAGATAACACAGTATTTCGAAACTTCTCATCGAACACGCAAAGTCGTCTAGTGGTTAGTAGTTTGTTTGCAACATTGGTGATGGTTGGGGATAAGAAGAAAGAAGGAGCAAACATTAGGATCACGAGAGACGGAAAACAAATGAGTGAACTGCGGATACGATACAAGTCTGTGGAATCCGTCATCGTTGCACTTACAAAGTGATGGCAAGGAATCCTGTAGCTCACAGCCTCTCCKACCTATGTTGCACTGAGGTTTTTCATTTGGGCACGAGGTAAGATCCCGCTCGAGGCAACAACTGGGATATCCCATTTCGTAGCACATGAAATCAGGCGGGTCTGAGCAATAAGAATCGCCGACTTCTGGCAATCCGATTTCGCATCCAGGTTTTTTGTTGGGGCACCCATTTGAAGAACGGTCATCGCCACAGCACTCTGGCCAACCACTCCGGTAGCAGCCAAAATTCGGCGATTGCGTACAGTAMGAGTCACCAACAATCGGAAAGCCAATCTCGCATTCCGGGCGTTCGTCGGGGCAGTATAAAGAGTCGTCGAGGCAGCATCTCGGGCGTCCGTTCTTGTAGCAGCTAAAGTCTTCTGCGTAGGTACAGTAGGAGTCTCCGACTATCGGCCATCCGATTTCGCATCCGGGCTGGATCTTTGGGCATTCGATCGTGCTTTTCAGGCAACATTCTGGCCTRCCGAATTGGTAACAGCTATAGTCTGGTGTGTTTGTGCAGTACGACTCTCCAAGAATCGGTAGACCGGGTTCTTCGCTACAACAATCTAGCTTTTGTCCGGTCCCGTCMTTGGGGCAACACACGCCCTTCAAACCTAGCTCCCTGCATCTTGGGTAAACATCACAAGAACCCGAAGGAARCACTCCAGCAAAGCAGCAATCCAACTTGACATTTTCATCAGTTGGGCAGCATTCTCCGGTAAGACCCAGAGCTTCACACTCGGGGTTGGCCGAGCACGAACCAGGTATGTCAAAACAGCAACTCAGTTTCGCGTTGTCATCAGTTGGGCAACATTCTCCAGTTAGACCCTTCGCTGCACACTTGGGATGCCTCGAACACGAACCAGCACTAATCTCGGTAGGCTTTTGAGTAGGTCTAAAATATATGGCTTCTTCAACGCAGCAGTCGAGCTTCACACCCTCATCGGTAGGACAACACTCTCCTGTCAGACCAAGAGCTGCACAACGAGGGAACTTCGAACACGATGAAGCTTCTAATGGTGCAAATCGTGTTGGTCTGGGGGATGGYCTGGGAGACGGTTTTGGGGTCGGTCTACGAGTCGGCTTCTTGGTAGGCTTCTTGGTAGGTTTGCGGGAGGAAAGTCCTGGCAGGTGACTAAAAGAAAGASAGGTATAGCGACAGGTAAATCATAATGGGACACCAATGAAAGTGTAAGAGTCGRCCAAAAAACTGTGATGATTTCSTGCRCTTCCTTSMTTCCTTTGGTTGCTTGATTTCTTCGAAACTACATACCTTGGTAGAATGACTTCATCGACAATGTGCATGATGCCGTTGCACGCCTCAATATTGAACGCAATAACCTCAGGTTTGKCGCTTTCCGAATTCCCAGCACCCTTCTGGAAAATTTTTGTTTCTCCGTTTTCGCAAACGGTGCGTGTGAACTCCTCGTTCACCATCTCAAGCCGCTCTCCRCATCGATCTTTCAGTCCGGACTTGTTGATCACATTATTCTTGTGCATGTGAAGGAAAAGAAGTTCTCGAAGAGTGCCCTTCGGACACTCGTAGATGTCATTGTACTTTAGATCCCTCAAAACGTGCTGAAAAGCATCATTTGTTGGTGCAAAAAATGTGAAATCCTTTTCGCGATTGTTGAGAGTGATGTCGATGCCAGTTTCTTCGAGTGCCTGGCAAAGAATGCTGAATGCGTCTGTTGCRCACACAATTTGGTCTGGGCAAAAGAGTACCATCATGAATTTAGTGGTTTCGCGATGAGGATTGACCAAAGTACACTATTGGGACACGCACCGGCATTCGAGATATTTCACATTTTTAACTAAGTTCTTCGTAATTTACTTACTGATGCTTCTACAGCTGCTTGTGGCAGAAACCTGGGAATCTTGCGGATACATGGCGACAAAGGCAGCCCAAAAAGTGACGAGTGACCGCTTTTTCAAACACTTCATTTTTAATATTGTCGCTTTCAAATCCTCTCTCCTGGTCGTATTATGTTTTATTTTATCTCCACGAAAATTGGAATTGTTAAAGGAYTTTTCTTGGGAAAAAGGTGGGATAGTTGTATCTTCATTCGATAGTGTGCTCCAATAGCAGTTACAGTACTGGGCCATGTGTTTATACAGATACATTTGGTCTCCTGCTGCTGTCCGGCGAAATTTGAATTCGAAATGTGACAGCAATTCGCCATAGTKTTAAATGTGCGTCCGAACCGCGTTTGACGACTCATAGCCAATCACGACTAAAAAGTCATCGCTGACCATGTTTTCGTTTCAGCAACGGAAAAATGTTAGCGACCAAGTTAGTCGTGACTCGTTACCTCGGTTTCCCGCCATTCGTACCATTGTATTCTCCAAGGTAGTCGAACTAATCGACTTATCAGTCAGATGTTCCGTTGACGTACCGTACGGTACGGTAGATACGTATCRTACTTACGTACAAAGGCAGCACATTTCTGATTCCACTACGTACTCGTACCCGTATTCAAACTAAACAAATCTGGAAGCTCTCATACATAGAAGTACATACWTACGTACGTTGAAAATAACTCACTTTTGCTTCCACAGTACCGTTACGTACGTACAGTACTTTACATAGAACRTTTTCATGCTTTTTTTGTGATTGTCAACGAATGAACTCAATTGAAAACCCACGCAGAAAAATCCTTCGACGATGACGATGAGAAATTCTCGTGGGCAAACCTATTTATCAGAACTAATGCCGTGCGATACGTGAACCGTYCAGTATGAAAAACTCTCGACGAAGTTTCCTTTTCTTCTCAGTTTCACCTCAATTTGAAATCGAATTAGAAAAGATTCAGGAATCAATACCAGTCAGGGGTTGGCACACAAAGGGATTCATTTTAAWAGAGTCAAGTTTAAGTTTATTCAGATGATCGACTCTGAATGAACACAAAATCAAAATTACAAGTAATCGAAAAATATCAGTTTATCATGGGAACGTCAAAAGATGTCAAATCCAAAAACAAAGACACTGGGTCGTCGAAGACGACATCTTTTTCAGCCGCAGCCAAATTTCTTCTGATTCCGACGACAGCAACCTTCATTCTGTCTGCTATGGGGTTTTCGTATACAATAGCAGCCCTGCCGTACGTTGTGATCAAATCCAGGATGCTCAATGCCGACAAAGGTGAAAGCACTGCACAATTTTGGACCAAATTCTTGATTATGGAAGTCTTCTATTGCGCTATGCTATCGGCGTTTGCCTTTGTKGTCCTACTGCCGATGTTTGGAATCCAGTTCACGGGCTTTCACACGCTAGCATTCTACCTGCCCATGTTTACCATCACCCTACACGACCGTCGGCACCAATACGGTCCATTCGGGACTTTTGTCGTTCAGACCTTCTTTGATGTGCCCCTTGTAGTTGCAGGATATATTTGCCGGGAGTTATTTGGCCTGCGCCTCCTAGCGCCTTGGGCCGATATTCTAGACGACACAATCGTCCAGGGCTCTTTGCCATTTCCCAGCGACATTGCGGTCCTTGCTGCGGAACCCTACAACGTCGGTTTGATCATAAATATGTGCCGGGAATATGGTGGTGCCAAGGACGAAATGAAACGATGCGGCATCGTACAGTGCTATTTGCCACACCAAGACACAACAGCACCCTCGTATGAGTCCTTGGTGAAGGGATGCGCCCACATAAAGCAGTTCAAGAAACACAACCCCGAAAAGCGTGTCTATGTCCACTGCAAGGGGGGAATTGCCCGCGCCTCTACYATGTCACTCGCTCACTATGTTTSCAACGAAGACCAGGACCCTTCGGTGGCGATCCGAGCTATGAAGACGAAGCGTCCCGTGGTTTTTGCAGGGGTCAAAGATTTTCCCGCCATTATCAAGCTCAACGACGAGCGGCTGTCGAAAGAACAACAAGAGCCAAAAAAGGCGAAGTAACAGAGCGGCTGTCAAGAATTCGTGCGAAGTCGAAATGGAATGGAATAGGCTTGCCTGTGTCAACCCAAGTATTTTCAGTTTGTTCTTATCCGCTTGTTAGCCAGGAGATGCAAGCAAGAACTAGTTTCATTTTACGGAACCATAGTATTTTGTTTCATATTGGTGGTGACATTTTCTCGTCGTTGCCTTGCATAAAGAGGCCAAGTGCGTTGATCCGGGTAGATGGAACGCTTGCGACAATACAGCCATGTTGTCTTCCTCCAACACCCATAGCGAAGCGAACTTCTTAGATTTTGTTCAAGTCTCTACAATCTTCTAAAGACCAGTTGTAAGGAGGATAAACACTCTCTACAATATTTCAACTTTCTACTGACGTCATTTTTCACTGCGAAATCATTTCAACAAAGGTACTACTAAGTACTTCTAATATGTTTCGAACAAAAGCGATTTAAAGATACAGCATCAAGGGCGTGTAAGCAATGCTGCTGGACTCGTCAGAATAATATCACTTCAACAACCAATCCTAGGAATTGGTAGAACTAGCGACCGTATTATATCAAAATCATAACGTGGGAGAAATAGGATCCTACTACCGCACAATGTTTTTGGCCAAAATAGTGCATCAGACAGAAATTTCAAACTATTTTAGAAGAAAAAAATATTTGCTTCGAAAAATTTGGTAGAAATCGTACCGCAGCTTTCGTACATACCTACGTTTGAAGTACGAGAACTTCGGTAGTACAAGTACGAGTAACTAAACGGAACAAACATTTTTGAGTCAATAAATAGCCGAGAAACAACAAGATTAAGGTTAAGGATTMAAGATTATTTAAATTTTGAAATTTGAAAACAGTACAGGATTTCTGTACTGATTTTAGGATACAGATTCTCTGTTGATGGAAGMTGAATGCTCTCTTSCCGTCTCTAACCAGCCTCATAGCGCAATGATTGCTGTATAGTCGATTTGCTGAAGAGAACAGGATGAAATCGAGTGGACGTCGTCCCCGAACATTGAATCCGGCATTCGCCGCGGCACACGGAATAAGCAGTAGCAACAGTATCGACGATCCCCTCGATACGAAAACTAATGACGAAGTCCGGAACGATGGCGGCAACAGCAAAACCGGTACCTATAGCAGCAGCAACAATTCCATCGAGATTGTCTTGAAACGGGCACGCGATACGGGAAAACTCAACGCATCGAATTGTGCCGAGCTAAAGAATCACCAAAATTCTTCCTCGTCTCTCCCGAACGATTTTTTTGAATTCCCTTTCAATTTGAGTCGATACACCGAAGAGCTTTTGACGGTCATCGATTTCTCMGATAACGAAGATAACCTAGGGCCAGACCCTGAGCTAGACGAAAGGGTTCTCCAATATAAGTCGGCGCAGTCCATGAGGTTTCGGAACTGCGGTTGGAAACTTCCTTCGGCTCTATCCTTTTCCTCCCTAGAACATCTCACCATTTTGGATTTATCGGGRAACCGATTGGACGGCAGCTTGGACATTGGAGTCCTATTGTGTTCTCCCTCAAAAACTTCGGCCTTGGTAGAACTTAACCTCTCCAACAACCTGATCCGGGAGCTGAGAGCAACATGGAACGATTCGAAGAACGGTGATAATGATCAGAAAGATGGACCGTCGTCGTCATCCCTCACGATCAGTCTTCCCAAGTTGCAGTCCTTGGATGTATCACACAATCCCCCCTTGGAAAGCTTGTTTGAGGGCGACGACTTCTCTTGCGAAAATCTGCGAATTTTTCGATGTCACCACAACCCAAATCTAAGATTTTCRTCGTATATATCACCATCTCCGACATCGGCCTCTACCAACGCAATRGATGGACTTCCACGATTCTTGCGTTCCGCATCCACTTCCCTMGAGGTTCTGGAGGCATCGCACAACCCCAAACTAGYRTCTGCAGCAAAAACCAAACCACGAGCATGTCCGATAGACTTGTCCAGTTTCACACAATTGCARACTTGTTCTTTTGCCTTGAATAAACTCGATGTGGTCCCTTGCATTCCTCTCTCGGTGAAATCGTTGGATCTTCGCAGCAACAAACTAGCGTCAATTTCTGGTATTTTCCCWACCGAGTCGAMGTCGSCAGCATCATCATCGGTAGCAAMAAAATCTCAACTGATAAATCTGATTCTCGCGGATAACTACCTCACACGTTTGGATCCACTGKTATTGGAACAGATGACCCAATTGAACCGTTTAGACCTGGCTTCGAACAAGCTACTCGCACTGCCCTACCAGCTGGGTTTTTTGACGAGTCTTTCGGCGCTCAACGTTTCTGGAAATCCAGTAGTTACCAAGATTCCACCATCAGTTATAAGCAGCAGCAGTAGTGGCAATCCACAAGCTTTATTGGAGCTGTTGCGGAATCGAGCTCCTGTTGGAAAAGAGGGAAGGGCGACCACCTTAGCGGGCGGTGGTCGTGCCAAGAGCATCGACGTAGCTGCATCGAACTTKTTGACAACTGCCTTGTCGTCCAAGGGCCGCACGACGCTAGATCTGGAGAGGAAACTCGCGCAAGCCAACCCGAATACTCTTGAAGTTTTGATGAGAGAGTTGCTGACAACGAGCACAAACATTGCCAGAGAAATCACCGGCCAAGTCATTTTAGACTCCAATGAGCTCGACACATTGCCGAGCGACTTGCTCTCGCGTTGCTTGCCAAACGTGGAAACAATCTCACTGGTCRGAAACAAGTTTACTGAATTGCCTCCATCGTTGCAAACCTCCTGCAGCAGAACGGTGAAGGAATTGCGCCTCGGAAAGAATCTGTTAACAAGCGAAGCATTGACAGAGGCGGGATGGTTTCGAGCGAAAGCATCGGTTGCTWTGTCTGGATCWTGGTCGCTGAATTCTCTTACGCATCTTGACCTGTCTTCTAATCGACTTACTTCCTTTCCCATCAATACAACTTCCGAAGTTCTTTGTTTCCCGGCACTCAAGGTCTTGAATCTGTTCAACAACCGCATTCACAATGTTGGAGACTGGAAAAGATTGCCGGCCTCGTTGACCACACTTGAGCTCTCCGAAAACCACATCGAAGACATYGAGCCGCTCGCCATCCTTTTGGCAGCTCATTGCAGGGGATTCCAGCGTCTGTCGCTTGAACACAACCGTGTAAAGCGCATCCCCCCAATCCTGGGGCTTCTGGCGAGCTATTCGCCTTCTATGCTTTCCCTAAACCTAAAGGGGAATCCTCAGCGCGCCGTCCGGCTCGACGTTCTCGATCGTCCCTGTTCAGACATCTTGGAGTACCTGGCGAATCGAATGACGGTCGACCAACGCAATGCTGCCATCGACCTGATTCAGGAGCGGCAGCGTCTAGAGAAATTGGTTCCGGGAACAAAACCAATGGAAGAACATGCCGCCGTTGTCAAGGATACTGACATTGATGATATACCTTCCGCTATGCCCAGTCGTTCGGTCGGAGAGGAACCTCCAGCCTCTGTGGCTTGCGTCCAGCAGGAAGATAAGCTACCGGAMCGAACCACGAAACTCAACCACAAGAGTGCTGGCGTTGGCAGGGCAGAATCAGAATCAGAAGAGAAGAAGGAGGAGAACGACACCAACGTCCTGAAGGAACTCCAAGAATCCGTGGAGAAATACAAGGCCCAGCTCGAAAACYTGTCCCTGACCCAAGCCAAGAAGTATGCCCTGAAGAAGTCGCTGGCCATGGAACGATCCAAGCTGATTCGGGAGGAGCGCAGATTGGGCCTACGGAAGTAGTATGCCTCGAAAAGGGAACTCTGTATACAGCTAATTTAACGGATGAATTGCTTTGATCAGCACGAATTCAAACTAGCATTTTRTAAATGTCCAATAAGTCGTTGTTTCTTATGTTGGACAAAGTTATTTGCGACTCCAATCGTCTCTTGTACCATGGTTGTGAAAAATCATACTACTATATTATTCTGCTATACATGCAAACACAACTTGAAACGTAGCTTCTTCCTTCTTCATTCTAAAATCGATCCCTCGTCGTGCATTTTCTTTGCTGTGAACCATCGTCAATCAATGGAACCATGGGGTAGGCAGGCATCAGCATTCCATCACTGGATTCCAACTCSGGTTGTTGTTCTTTGTTTACCTGCGCTATGATTTTAATTTCTTGTTTTTGGGGGGTGGTTTGATCTATAAGAGAATGTTCATCTTGTCGTAGACCTCCTTAAAGGCCCCGCCGTCCGCCTTGTACTTGGCCCGCAGCTTCTTGTATCCGGTGTGGTCGAACATCCCCTCGAATTCCTCCCGGGTAAAAAAGACGTCGGCGTACARCATCTGAAAGCCGTTCATGTCCACCAGCTTTTTCAGGACGGCGCGCATCGATCGCTTCATGTCAAAGTCCTCCTCGCGCTTCTCGTGCACGCAGCGGGGCAGGCCGTAGACGCCGATGTCGATGTACATCTCGTGGCCGTTGGATGGTTTGGGGACCGCCGGGTCCTTCAGCAGGGACCCGGGCATCGGCGCGTGGTCGTGCAGGCACAGCCAGAGGGGGTAGATCCTGTCGAAATCCTCGTCGCAAATGGCMAGAAAGTCGAACATCTTGCGGGTCGGGACCAGGAAATCCTGGGCCACGTGGGTCCGTTCGGTGAGCTTCCGGGTCAGCTCCGTYTGCGAGATCTTAAGGAAGGATACCTTTGGAGGCATGAGCCACCCAAGCAGCCAACGAAACACGGGGTRGTTTCCGATGGGGATCATGAGCTCCATCTCCCAAAACAGCGACTGTGTGTGGCGGTGGTAATAATCCAGGAGTGGTATGTACTCAACTGTTTCCTCGCCTTCGTTCAGGATCTTTTCCACGTGCTTGTAGAACCAGGGCTTCCACCACAGGCTGATCCGATTGGCGGACCCCCGCGGAACGTCCTTTGCGTCGACAAAGTCGCCCGCCATGACCACGGCAGACTCGAGCGAATAGGCCAGGCCCTCGACAAACATTGGGACGGGGGTGTTTTTCCTTCCGTTCTCGACCTCCTTGTTGTATTCCCCCGAGAGTTCCCGCATGTGTTCGACGTACCCCTYCCGCGTGCGGTGGGGGGTGTAGGTCAGCCTAACGTACTGCTTGCATGGGATCAGCCGGAGCTTGGCGCTGAGCAAGAGGGCGAGGGTTCCGTAGGACCACGGAATGGCGTGGAAGAGGTCGCTGTACTCGTTGTCGGCAGTGGCAACCACGACGGATCCGTCMCCCAGCATGAGCTCCAGTTCCGTGATRATCTCGTGGAACAARCCGTACTTGTGCGAGGACGACTCGATGCCGGTTCCGTTGATGAGTCCTCCGACCGTYAGATCGTCCATTTCCGGAACCACGGGCAGGGTGAGACCCTTTGGATTCAGRGCGTGCGTCAGCTGCCCGATGGACACAAAGGGCTCGACGTGCACGATCATGGACCCTTCGTCCACTTCTAGGATATCGTAGAGCGGCATTTCGATCGCGTTCCACTTGCTCTTGTAATTTCGGTACGAGAGGGAAACGGATTGCCAGCCGGGTCGGGCCGTGCAGATGGGAGCGTTTTTGTTGGGCCGGTTTCGGACCTTTTTCTGGATGGTGGCCACCCGATCGTTGTGCAGGTGGGGTGCSGAGTGAAAGGTGTGGATGTATTTCGAGCGGGCGTTCATGGCAAAGTTCCACAGAAGGGAAAGGGGCAGCCCAAAGACGGTGACCACGGTGGATCGGTGGTACGTCAGGAAGTACAGGGGCAGGTCTTCGCAGACCGATTTGCAGATTCGCTTCCGGTTCTTGGCCACCATCCCCGCGGAAACCAAGGCGCCAGCGGCCACGGCCACCGTCCCRGTCGGGGTGGAGGTCGCAGCCTCGAGCGCGATGGAGCACCTGTCTGTTGCTCTMTGGAGTGCGTTCCCCATAGCTAGCTAGCTTTTTATCCGTTGGGCGCTTACCCGCTCTCTCTCCTTCTTGTACTCTCGGGTCTGAATTTCCCGTCCACGAAAATACCTGCGATRGCGTTRTTCTCGGTACTCTGGTSTGTTGAACAGTCCCGGTGGAGGTATGGTACCGTACCAATAAGTGACACAAGTTGACCGTAATACGAGTACCTACAGTACAGTACCCTGCTAMAGCACGAATACGTTGGAAGAGAAACGAGAAACGAAACAAGAAGTCGCATCGAGGATTCAGGTCGTCATTCTCTCGTTGAATTTTGATTTGAGAATTGAATAACACTCGTGATCGCGCACCCTTTTCTTCGTTCCATTTTGAGTCACTCTTATCTTACTGTACCCAAATGAACGTAGAATTGGGGTACAGTACTTCCCAGAAGAAAACGAACTCCGAAATCAAAAAAAATGACAAGTTCCATTCTTTTCAAACTGGGCACTGCGAGCACAAATACTACCTACTACGATGACAGCAACGTATCCATCGGAATACAAAGCGTCCAAGGGGGCCCTTGCTTTCCACGTGACAAGGATTGTTCGCGCGCACTGTAGGATTTTTCACATCTTCAACTACTCGTACGTACCCGTAAATTGTGTCCAAACATACGAGAACACCACGGTATGTTTATCCACTTCGAAAAAAGTAAGAGAAGGTATCGGTTTTTAAAAACTAGCGAAGCTTGAAGAATCTACCGGATGTTGTGAATTGTGAAGGGAGTTTTCGAAATTTCAACAAAATAGTACTTCTACTTCTACTCATTCCTAATTCCTCGAGGCTCAGTTTGAAGAATGAATCTTAATTTTTAGTGTTCCCATCTGAGTTTTCGACTCTCTTTTTCCCTRAAGATTTTGGAACTTAGGTCGTAACCATTCCAATCGCTACTTCCACCAACCAACGGTAAAWTAAATGAATTCCGAAACAACCAGGATTGGTAGCGGCGACAAAAATCGCAATACGTGTTATTCTTGTCATCGTTGAACGCAGTTTGTGTTCGATTTTGGCACGGAGTAATTTTCTTTTGYTTCTGTCATCTTTGGTCTATCTTTTTTAGTGTCTTCTATTTAGCTAGTTGGTTGATTGTTTGCGACAAAAACCATATCGGACTTTCGCGTGTCGGTAGCATTTACCAATACAGCATGCACCGTCCCCGGCGGTCTTGGATCGGCCCTCAGATTTGGCCGTAGCGCTGCCCTCCCCTCGTAACACCCCTACGGGATGGTTCGCCGATGGGCGGAGGAGTGCCATTGATCGAGAGCAGCTGCGAGAGGACATCGACGCAGTTCCTCGTACCGGGACCGTTTAGCAAATTGTTCATGCGTTCGATGCCGGCAGAAAAGTCCATTATGTTCTGGCTGACACGCTGGGTCTCRTTCTCGAGTTGCTGAATGGCTCGGTTCGTGTTGACTTCGGAGAGGGACACAGCGCCCGACGGAGTGCTGCCTTCCTCCCCGTCGGCGGTTCCGCCACTCGTTGGATTCCTACCGATGGACCCATCGTCCGTGCTTTGGACGTCGCTGAACCCACCCGGTGCGCTGTTCGACATGGGTGGCGGCAAAGGGCGTCCGATACGGACCGACAACTTTTGCAGGGCTCCCTCGAATTCGTCTAGGGCTTCCCGGATCGTTTGCTGCTGCGACAGCGCCTTCGGAGTGAGGGTCAATTTRATGGACTCTTGCAACCGGCTGTTAACGGCTCGTTCTGCCTCCAGTTGCCCCAGGACCGACATCAGCTCGTTTCGTGCGTGGATGCGCTTGTTTTTGTGGTCTTCGGATTGTTGCGCGGAACGAGACAACCGGGCTTCCAATGAGTCCCCTACCTTGTGCATCTTTTCCGAGTCTTTCTTCATTTTCATTGCATCGCGTTGCAGCTCGCGGTTTCGGGTCTGCGATTGCACCCACTGCGCATGGAGTTGTTTGTATCGCTGGTTGAGTTCCTTGAGAGAGTGCGTGTTTTGGTCCATTTCCGTTTGCAGCGACAAATAGTCTGTTTTTGCCAGGCGCACCTCTTCCGTCTTGGCCTCGACAAAAGCTTTCATCTTCCGCTTTCGTTCGTCGTTGAGTTTCTTTTCGTCTTTCAGGTTGTTTTCGAGCTGCTCCGTGCGCTTCTCGGCATATTGCTTCCATTCTTCCAGTTCCTCTTGCAGCTGTGTGCGCTCCGCCGACAATGATTCGACCTGGGTTTTGTAGTCTTTCACGGAAGATTCCAATTGGTCTACTTGTTCTTCGTAGTGTTCGGCAGCGTTTGCTTTCACGGCTTCCTTCTTTTTCGCCGCATTCAGGCGCGTCGTCAGAGCCATTTCCTTCCGAGCCTGTTCGTCACGCTCCTCGCGAATGTCTATCAGCTCCTTCTCAAATGCGTCCTTTTCTTGGGTCAGGGWTTCGAGTTTATTDGTCAGATCGTCCAGGTTGGCTTTTGATTCGATCTTGAAGAGCTTGTATTCCTCTCCGATCCTCTGGGATTGCGCCATGGCAACACGTGCTTTCTCCTCGGCCTCGGCCCGGCGGTTCATTTCTTTTTGTAGGCTGGCCTGGAGCTCCACCATCACCGCATCCCCCGGTCGCTCTTCCTCGACATTCTCGTGGTGTTGGAGCTGCATGATCAGGGTGTGCGCGGCATGCAGYTCTTTCTGGAGCACCTCGATCTGATCGGACGGGGGTGTAGATTGTGAGGGTATGGATCCAGCGGGATGAGTTTCCGTCGCGCCGTTCTTTCCATKTGTTTCTTTCTGGATTTCTATCTCGGACGAAGATGGATTGCCATCGTCTTTAGAAGAAGATTGGTCGCTTACAGGAGGACTTTTCATAGGTTCATTTKRGRTGGGGGATGATAATGTGTCGTYGTCTSCTGATCCCTCGCTGCTCATAAAAGATTTTTCGGTCTTCAGTGCATCATCCGTATCGACTGCACTGGATGATGATTGGGCTAAACATTCTTCCTCCACGAATGGTGATGGAAYGGATTGTGTAGAATCAGTAAGTACAACCTCGTTCGAATCTGATGTATCTTTGGCATCTTCGTTTGGCTCATGCGGCGTATTCAAAGGCGATGGGTGCTCCTCTTGCGATGGCAGCGATGCTTGCCCAGTTTTTGACAGYTCTGGAGCAGCAAATGCAGTCGTGTTCGATGATGCAATCGCTTTTTGCGCATCGGCGTTGCTTGCACCGAGAACTCCAGCCTGCCGAGCGGATGGCGTCGGCACGGAACCTTCCGAATCGCCCCGCAAAATGCCTGTCTGGGAGATTGTCGAGGAGAGATTGGCGGTGGACTCGGCAGGAAGCTCGGCCACGACGGGGGCGGGAGGAGTCTTGGCGTCGGTTTGCGGCTGGGGTTTAGGRACAGCAGAAGGGGGAGCGCTTCTGGGAGGATGGGCCGCATCCTTCGACGGAACAGCGTTGCGGTTCGGCCTGCCGGGATTGGTGTTGCCCTCGGCCCAATCCGCCACGTTCGCGAGGCGTTTCGACAGCTGCACCCCCGCGAGCTGCTGGGAGACCTTCGGGGCGAGCTCCGCTTTTCCCTTGGCGAGTTCTGCTTTTGCCTTGGCCCCGACTTTCCCCGCCATGCTCTTGAAGCTCGCGAATCGATTCGCGGCTCCCGCCTTTTTCTGCGGCAGCTGGATACTCCCGGCCATGTTCTTCAGGCTCGCGAACCGGTTGGCTATCTTCGGGCTGTTCATGGGATTGCCGGTCTCACCACCGGCGCGGCTGGCAGCGCTTGCCAACGGTGCTGGTGGCGTAGGCCCGGGYTTGGTTCCCGCTGCAGTCTGCCCCTTGCCATCTCCGAGGGTCCCAGGGCTGGATGCGGCRGCGGGTGGCGGCTGGGTCTTTGCTTCTGTTGGTTTCGCATCGCCCGTCGGGGCTATTACAGACTCCGCGGCTTCCTCGYTGGTTCCTACTGGCRAGGCCACGRRGTTCTGATCCTCGTTTGCCGCTRGTCCCTCGCTAGCGGCTTGCTGGTCCATCTCGAGTGATATGTCCTCCATCCYGCTCCCATCGGTCGATTCGGATGCCRCGTCGTCCGCGGGGGGCGTGGTCTCGTCGGTGCTTTCAAGCGGCGAGGCCACGGGATGTTTCTCGTCGTTTGAAACCGGTTCCTCGCCTTGTTGATTGCTGCTAGCGGCTTGTTGGCCCGTCTCGATTGGAACATCCCCCGACTCGCTAGGACTGATGTTTTCGGGCGAAGCGTCGATGGTTGGAGCTGCCAACGAGTCCGTGGTTTCCACGGTGGTTTCTGGCGAATGTGCTGCCT